CTTCCAGACATCCATCAACTTGTAAATTGTCATAAAGTTTAAAATTACTTTCCTTGCTTCCAGAAACTGTATCATCACACTTCGGTAAAATCCCAAACGACATGCTAATACTGGACAGAATTATGATCAGTTTACCTTGAAACATTTTATGTGTTTTATCCGCAAATGTAAGGTTTAAAAAAACACCTAAAATTCTGAGATAATAAGTGAAGTAAATTTTATCTTCGAATGTTTGCTACAAACAACGGCACCAAGATGTAGGCTATATATATATCACAGGTCGTAGAAATAATACCATGCGATTTCCCACAGGGAGTGATTTATACTCGTTTTTTTTTCCTCTTCATAATATTAAACAAAGACTTATCGATTTCTGAACTCAGTTTTCGATCGTGATTATAAAGATCAAACGACCAGTACCAGAGATACACAAGGGAACGTCTAGAGGAAGGTCAAGGTGAGTGTATTGAACGTACCGGAAGCGAAAATTTGTGGTCGTTACAATAGTTACAAATAGTTATAAATTTTGTTTAAAAAAACAAAGCTAATATTACTAAAGAAAAATTGTCCTAGCTTGCATTATTACAATTAGGACAATTATACAAATTTTGTTTTTGAAAACAAAATAATATCATCTATAATAATAGTTTCGCTGTCTGTGTGTGTGTGTGGGGGGGGGGGTGGTGTGTGGGGGTGGGGGGGTGGTGTGTGGGGGGGTGGGTTGGTTTCAGTGTTTCTTTCAGACTTTTTCCTCCCCGGAGAGGGGTGGGGGTACTTGAAATTTTTGGGGGCGGGGGTATAATTTTCTGGGAGGGGGCGGACACTGGAAAAAGTATATAATTATATTTCGTTGAATGGGACGGTAGACATGTTTTTTTGGGGGGTGGGGGTGGGTGGGTGGGGGTGGGTGGGGGGAGGTGGTGTGTGGGGGGGGGGGGGGGTGGGGATGGTGTGTGTGGGGGGGGGGTGGGGGGTGGTGTGTGGGGGGGTGGTGGGGGGTGGTGTGTGGGGGGTGGGTTGGTTTCAGTGTTTCTTTCAGACTTTTTCCTCCCCGGAGAGGGGTGGGGGTACTTGAAATTTTCGGGGGCGGGGGTAGAATTTTCTGGGAGGGGGCGGACACTGGAAAAAGTATATAATTATATTTCGTTGAATGGGACGGTAGACATGATTTTTTTGGGAGTGGGGGGTGGGGGGTGGGAGGTGGGGGGTGGCGGGGGGTGGGGGGGGGTGGGGGGGGGGGTGGGGGTGGTGTGGGGGGTGGTGTGGGGGGGGTGGCGGGTGGTGTGTGGGGGGTGGGGGTGGCGGGTGGTGTGTGGGGGGTGGGGGTGGGGGTGTGTGTGTGGGGGTGGGGGTGGGTGGTGTGTGGAGGTGTGTGTGTGGGGGTGGGGGGGTGGGGTGGGGTGGTTTCCTCATCGATACTCTATAATAAAATTACCACCTAATTAATGTGTCTAATCTAAAAAGTGGTTTTCTCGCAATTTCTTTAATGCAATTCTTCGCGTAGTGGCTAAGCGCGACACCAGTGTTTCTTTCAGACTTTTTCCTCCCCGGAGAGGGGCAGGGGGTACTTGAGGTTTTCGGGGGCGGGGGTAGAATTTTCGGGAAGGGGGCGGACACTGGAAAAAGTATATAATTATATTTCGTTGAATGGGACGGTAGACATGTTTTTTTGGGGGGTGGGGGTGGGTGGGGGGAGGTGTGTGGGGGGTGGGGGTGGTGGGGGTGGGGGTGGGGGTGGGTGGTGTGTGGGGGGTGGAGGTGTGTGTGGGGGTGGGGGGTGGGGGTGGGGGTGGTGTGTGTGGGGTGGGGGGGGTGGGGGTGGGGGTGTGTGGGGGGGGTGGGATGGTTTTAGTTTAGAGAAAAGAGACAGCACTATCAGCCTAGCGCCCGTTGTACCCTTCCTCAACGGGCCATTTATCTAGTATAATAATAATTATATAAAATAATATTGCCTAAACAAAATAGTCTTAATTTATATCGGATCATGTAAAATCTTCATGATTAAATGCATCTTATTACATGTAAGAACATTAATTTTGATGTGGGTTGGCGGTCAAAACAGCATTAATATATCCATCATCTTTTAGTTTAACCTCTGATCTATGTGATTGGGGGGAGGGGGGGGGTCCACTTAAATTGATGAATGTCATTTTGACATATGAAGATGACATGTATGGGCTAAAAATGACTCGTTTCTCAAAAATGCCCTTGATGTCTACAATACTGTTGACATACAAAAACGTCTAGCTTGCCTAATATCAATATTCTTCTAATCCAACTACCATACTAAAACGTTTAGCTTTCCAAATATCAACATTTTTCTAATCCAACTACCATACAAAAACGGCTAGCTTGCCTAATATCAACATTCTTCTAATCCAACTACCATACAAAAAACGGCGAGCTTTCCAAATATCAACATTTTTCAAATCTAACTACCATACAAATACAAAAACGGCTAGATTTCCAAATATCAACATTTTTCAAATCTAACTACCATACAAATACAAAAACGGCTAGATTTCCAAATATCAACATTTTTCTAATCTAACTACCATACTAAAACGTCTAGCTTGCCAAATATCAACATTTTTCTAATCCAACTACCATACTAAAACGTCTAGCTTGCCAAATATCAACATTTTTCTAATCCAACTACCATACTAAAACGGCTAGCTTGCCAAATAGCAACATTTTTCTAATACAACTACCATACAAAAACGGCTAGCTTTCCAAATATCAACATTTTTCTAATCCAACTACCATACAAAAACGGCTAGCTTTCCAAATATCAACATTTTTCTAATCCAACTACCATGCTAAAACGGCTAGCTTGCCTAAAATCAACATTTTTCTAATCCAACTACCAAACAAAAACGGCCCATTCGTAATAATTCGTGACTTCAATGGATTCCCTTGCGGCAATCATTCACGTAAGTTGGCGATATTGATTTCTTCCAATTTGGAACTAACATAAAAGCCTTAAACGTTATTTTTAAAAAAAACAATGTGCATTGCTTAGTTATATTTTGTCTACTTAGATGCCTACATAGAATGTTGTTCAAATAACACTGTTTTTTTTTTGGCAACATCCACACCACAGCGTTGCTGTAGAAATGAGTTTATTCTGAGAATCTTTAACAATATGCCTATGTGTGTGTGTGTGTAAGTGTGTGTGTGTGTGTGTGTGTGTGTGCGCGCGCATTTATTTATTTCTGATCTCTGAGAAGTTAAGTACAGGGTCAACAGGCACTCCGCTAAAGAAGAAGATCTGCGACTAGATTTTTAACTCCAGCCATGAGAACCCAGGCATCTCTTCATGTGGGGGGGGGGGGGGGGGGAGAGGCTTAGCCCCCCCCCCCTCCCCGAAGAAAGTCTACCGTCTATATAAAAATATACCAGTGTCCGCCCTCCCCCCTCACCCCCCCCCCGAAAATATCGAGTGCCCCCCCTCCCCCTGAGAAAAAAGACTGGAAGAAACACTGGCCTCCATGCCATGTTTGGTCTCCCAGTGTTCCTCTGTTTCTATAAATTCCAGTCCATTAATTGTCTTTCAGAGAGTGTGCCCTAGCCAACTCTACTTCCTTACTTGTATTTCCTACTCCACTATTACTTGACTTCATACCTCATGTGATCAATGTAATCTTTTCCTGTCGGTGCCTAGGACACACGGCGCCGTAACAAAAAGTTATTCCCACTTCTGCCGCCCCCAGTCAACTTTTCTTTGCTGTTCCCCAAGATTGTAAGCCTCAGAGTCAGGTCTTTTGTCAGTTTGATTTTTTGCTGTGCGTCTCCACGTCTTTCTTGATCAACCCTGTCTTCTTTTACCTGGCGGTTCCTATTCAGCAGCATTGCCGTAATGCAGTGGCGTAGCGAGGTCGGGTGTCACCCGGTGCGGCACTTAATGGTGTCACCCCCCCCCCCCCCCCAGAAGCGTAGCGACTCTTCCCGGGGACAAACTTTCAATTTTCGATTTGCACCCCCCCCCCCCTCAAACTTTCGATTTGAACCCCGTCCCCCGTCTCAAGTTTTTCTCTATATATTTTACTATTTTTTGCCTTGGTGTCACCCCCCCCCCCCCTAAATGGTGTCACCCGGTGCGGTCCGCACCCCCCACCTCGTTACGCCTCTGCCGTAATGTCATCAGATCTCATCATTAATACATTGCCCATCCAGTGCCCTTTTCTTTCCGATTACAAATAAGACGAGCTTCTATTTCTATTTTATTTAGTAAGCTATTCTCGGAAATGGTGTTTGACCGTGAATTTTTGTATCCTCATAAAAACAGCCTTAACAGAAATTACCGGAAAAGTGCGAAACTAAATATTAACTTAAGCTTCTTACCGGCTTGCCAGATTTGACTTTTCACTTTTCATAATTTTTTTTTTATAGTTCGCCACTGGTTAGGATATGGTTATATTATGAGTCCTGCATCGAATAAGAAATAGAACTAATATCAAGTTAGGCCTAAAGAACTAGGCTTATATGTCTTATACATTGTTACGTTGAGGTATTAAAAGCAGTGTTTCTTCCAGACTTTTTTCTCCGGGGGGAGGGGGCACTTAAAATTTTCGGGAGGGGGGGGGGGTATATATTTTCTATATAAATTCCATTTTGTTCGGGGACGGTAGAGATGCTTGGAAGAAACTCTGATTAAAAGTCAGATATATACGACAATATTCGTGAAACTGAAGTATTTAATTTTAGATCTAGAATCTAGATCTACACGATAAGCCGATAATACATCAAGAATTAATGGGTAACGAATGCATTTATTTAATATTTTTTATTTTAACCTTTTTCTAAATTCTAAAAATCTTTGTAAATTCAAATGGATTAACATAATTAAGTCTAGCAGAAATGAAAAAAAGATCGATCTCTAGATCTAGATTATAACTTGTGAACACTTAAGACTAGATCTAGAGTCTACACCGTTTGCTAAGTTTTACGCGCCGGCATTTAGAAGCTACAAATGACGCAATTTTACTGCTTCCGTTCAACAGAAAATGCAATGAGTCTATGGTTACTGTGGTCTAGATTCTATGGGCTCATGCCATGAGATAATATGTTCAACTATGAATAATAACAATTCTTTTAAAATGAATATTGACTTAGTATAAAACTGTGTGGTCAGTAATAGCTACAGCCAGTTAATAAACTACTAGATTTAGATCTAGATCTAATAATGAATGAATATTGATTATGTTTAAATTATTTATTATTTATAATTTATTAATATTATTATCATATTATGTATTAATTAATTAATATGTATGTTAGTTTAATATTAATTAATAGTTTAGTTATGAATGAACTTTATGATCTTGATCTAGTCTAGACTAGATTCTAGACTCTAGCTAGACTCTAGAATCTCTAGATTTAAAAAATCTAGATCTAGAGATCTTAGATTCAAGATCTAGATCACTAGATCTGATCTAATTTCTAATCTAATCGTCTATTCTTAGTATTCTAGAACCTTGATCTACTAGACCTAGATCTAGAATCTAGATAATAGTAGATAGATCTATCTAGAATCTAGAATAATCTAGATCATAGAAATTAATTAGAATTAGAATCTATTTGAATCTAGTCACTAGATCTCTAAGTCTAACTTAACTCTTCTAGATCTTGATTCTAATCAGTTGATCTAGAATCAGTATTAGACTAGAATCTAGTGTAGATTCTAGATCTAGAATGTTTTACCTTTAATAAATTTTGATTCTTAACTACCACCTAGCCATCTAGATCTAGATCTAGAATTATTTACAGCTGTAACTGTAAAACTCCTTCTAATCTTTAGATTTGACTTATTTTTCTATTAGTGACCACTAGCTTACTGGTCGTTTAAATTAGACTTTCAAGAGTTTTGAATAGACTTCTACTTTTTTATTTATTATCGAACTAGCTGACCTGTCACACACTGTGGCTCTTTAAGAAGAAAAGAGTTTAATTTAGCATGATGTATTGTTCAACTATTGAAAAAAATGGATCTGCCAAAAGTAATTTACCAAGACCAGTAGGGCGCTGAACCGCACAGTACCACTTAGTGCAACCCCTTCAAAATTTAAAAACTTTTTATGCTAGAAACCTTCACTGAAGTGACAGATTTGTTAAACTTTGCTTATATTTTAAAAATATATATTAATTATTGATGCTGAAATGCTGCCAAATGGTTGTTGTATTGATAACCAATTTTCAGGGGTTTTCTGTAGCCTATTATTTATAGTTTTTTTTTCAACTTTCTATGCCATAGAATGGCTAAAGTAATATCACTAATATTAGGCCAAAATCTAAATGCTCATGCATTTTTTTTTCTTTATCATGTAAACAGGTTTATTTAGATATGAACATTTTCAGTGAAGCGGTGATTTTTCTGATGACAAAAACCAGCAAAAAAAAACCAAACAAAAAACCAAGAAACAAACAATAAATGAATTTCCAAAACTATTTTTAAAGCAATCTAATAAGGTCAAAAATGGTATATTTCCAAATAAGTCCTATCTAGATCTATATAGATCATCTCTGAAGATACATTTGTAGATGACATGCAGAGACTGATAAACACTCAAGCCTTGCCCCATCTGCTGTTGATTTAACAGTAATGCTGGAAAGATATTTGGGCTGACTATTCCTCATATCTTAAAGATGGATGCTTTTGTTTAATCTATTAGTACTCACTGTGATTCATATTTAGTCAGTTAGTGTCACCCATCTGCATCACTACCAGAACAAAATCTGGCATGCTTCCGCCAACTGGTGAATATGTTGCATTGCCTTCAGTGTAAACCTAAAGTAATAACGAATACAGTATCTTTTAACTAGTTCATTTAAGTGTGTATTTTGAATGAAAGTTTTTACTTTTAGCCTTACAATAGATGTTTGTTGTTGTAGGGCCACTTATGAATAATAATTACACTTTACGACATTACCAGTCTGTCAAAATACTGAACAAGTATGCATTTCATTGTTTGAATGCACTATGAGATCATGAGATGTGTTATAGGGTGTATACCATATGTGGCAAAATTTTGTACATAATGTAAAGCCTTTGTATTAACTTGGATAGGATCTAATGTATATTCTGTGGGGCTACAAATTATAACATTTATATCATTACTCTTTTTTAGTTAAAAACTGTTAGCCAAGTAACTGAATAATGGAAAAGCAACGAGGAAGTAAGGGCTCAGATCTTAATGAGTTGAAGAGTGAGCTGGTCATTGATGACCACAAAATAACCATTCAGGAGTTGATGGCTCGCTATAACATTAAAGATCTGCAAACTGTAAGTAGGCATACTTTTAGAATCTTCAAAATAAAGAATCTATTTTCTTTTCAGCATTAGAAGAATGTTTTAAGTAGGAAAAGAGATTCTTCTTTACACCTAACTATTCATTGGGCAGAGGAAGTAGAGTTCATATGTTTATTGACCTCGTCACATAAAGGGATAATGCGGTCAGAGGCTATGTCCAGCCACCTTTGCTTTCCCTAATGTGAGTTAGATACTCATCAGAGCTGGGTGGACTCAGGGATGTTCCACTGAATTAAAACTGGATTTGAACTCTAATTCTAACTCTTTCCACTAAAGAATATTAACCTAACTCTAATTCTAACTCTTTCCACTAAAGAATATTAACCTAACTCTAATTCTAACTCTTATACCAGCATACTAATTTGAATATAAGCTAATTTATAAGCTTTCTTAATCATAGTGATATGACAGTTCTGGTACGTAATTAAATGGTAGTACCATTACTTGCATGGTTGGAAATAAAGTAATACATTTTTTGCTGTAATTGCTCCTCTATGGTTAATATTTGAATATCACCTATGTCTTGTAGTTTAGGACCTATATAAATGTCATAATGTATTTTTGTTTTTACTTGGATAGTATTTTTTTTACCTTAATAGCGTCTTAATAAATGTCATAATTTATATATTTTTTTACCTGGATAGGGTCTGACCAGTGAGCAGGCAGCTGAAAATCTAAGGCTTTATGGTTATAATAAACTAACTCCACCTAAAACTACACCAATGTGGATCAAGTTTTTGAAAACGATGTTTACAGGCTTTGCTTTATTGCTATGGATAGGATCCTTCCTCTGTTTAGTAGCATACCTTATAACACTTGTGGAAGTTGAAGGTGGAGAGAAAGAAAATGTGAGCAGATTTTTTTTTCTTCTTCTCTACATAAAGTATCTACCCTGAAATCATTAAGGCAGTTATTTTTCAACCTTTCTTTCATTGACCCTTCTTTTCTGAAAATCCACAATTGACAGACTATTATAATAGTGGCGCAGATTAATATTTTTAACGTTAAAAAGTTCATATTTGATGCATTAGACTATTTGTCTCTTGTAATACAAGTCAGTGCCTCCCCACAAATCCCAGTTTGGAAATTACTGCGTTTTATCATTTAAAAAGTTAGCTGTTAATATTGAAAGACTCTTACTGTAACAGTTTAAAAAACAATCTTTAGACATTGTGGGGGCATATGAGAAATATTGTTAATAATTTTGCCCATAACTTTTCACCTTAACAGCTTGGCCTGGGTATTGTATTGATGGCTGTAGTCATCATTACTGGAATCTTCACATTCTATCAAGAATCAAAGAGTTCTTCTATTATGGAGTCATTTAAAAACCTTGTACCTCAAGTAAGTGCTTACAATTAAAAACACTTGACAAAATGAGGTATCAAATAATATGAAGTTACAGGTGCATAAGCAGATTAAAAATAATAGTAGAGTTCTATTCTCCAACTGGTATAAGTTCTTCTCAAAGCTCGATGTAATCAGCTCTATATTATGTCCAAAAAAAAATGTAGGCTTTATCCCCTTTTACTAATATGATACAGGCAATGTAATCCAGCAAATTATTTTGGAGAAACTTTACATTACTATTTTTTTAAAATAATTTACATAGATGTAAGATTGTAAAATTGTGATTTTATCATGAAAAGTTGTACCTATTTCAAAAAACACATATATGAATTTTCTCCCCCTTTCACACATTTTCTCCAGAAAACATCTTGAAATTGTATTTACAGAGATGTTAACATATCCTGCCAATTTTGTTTTATTTTCACCATAAAAGGCTGTCTGTTTCAGCATGCTTTAGTTTTAAGAGATGGCGAAGTCTTAACAATAGATACCAAAGAGGTTGTGAAAGGGGACATAGTGAAGGTGAAATTTGGAGACAGTGTTCCTGCTGACATACGCATTATTGAGTCTCATGGGTTTAAGGTATGTATCTGTTCTTTGTTTAATGTCAGGTATACTCAGATAATCATCTTTTACAATTTTAAATATCTTTCTATACTAGCTTTTGTAGTCATTGCTTAGCTCCCAAAATTATGTCTGTTAAATATAATGTACTTTACCTACTATTAAAAAAATAAATTTAGCTATACATAACGGGAAATTTTAGTAATGAAGTAAGCTGTGTCGATTAAATAAAAAGAATTGACTCTTTGAAAGGTGGATAACTCTTCTTTAACTGGAGAATCAGAGCCACAATCTCGAGGACCTGAGTTCACCCATGACAATCCGCTAGAAACAAAAAATTTGGCTTTTTTTTCAACAAATGCAGTCGAGGGTATAATACACTTGCATAATTACTTCTGTTTTTATACAGTTCATTTTATCAAAACCAAAGACTTCTTTTTTTTTTTTATTTAAATTGCTGCAGTTGAAAGTATATTGTTTTATTATTCAGCATTTTCATTTTCAAACAGTTTTTTGCAAAGGTTTTAAATTTTATTAATGAGTAAAATTACTTTTAAAAAAGTATATTAAGGGTAAGTAAGTTACAGTTTTATTCTTCCTATTAATTTGTTTTATAAAAGTTCATTTTTTACCTGGAAATTTCATTGTATATAAAATTCCGAATGATTTAGGATACAGATGTCTAACAATAGACTCTTCCAAAAATATGTGTGCAAGGATGCGAGTAGTATTGTAATCCCCACTAGATTTGTGGTTAGAATTTAGGTTAGGACCCAGGGTTAGGGTTAAGGATAGAGTACGTTAGCAAGTCATATGAGTATCTATTTAACCAAACACCCTGTTTTTAAGAAGATTCTATCATTGTGCCATTATCCGACACTGGTATTAGAAATCCACAGATAAAAATTTGATCCAATTTTTTTTATTGAATGTAAATCTTACAATCCACAGGCACAGCTACTGGTATTGTCATTCTAACTGGAGATCACACTGTGATGGGGCGTATTGCTGGTCTTGCCTCAGGCTTGGAAACTGGGGATACACCTATCGCCAGGGAAATAGAACACTTCATCCATTTGATCACAGGTAATAGGGATAGGATTTTCCAACATTAAGAAGAAACACATAAAATTGAGATGTGCAGGGTAGATGTCAAATTCGACCCCAGAGCCAAAATATTTGGTGGTTGTTGTTTTGAACACAAAAAATATGATTGACAACTTTTGATTGCTTGAATTTGTTTTGATAGTGGAAGTTATCTGTGTTTATTGCTTGGTTACGATGATAACATAAGTGTATATGATCAGCAATCATCTATTATTGATTGACTACGGTGATAACATTGGTGTATGTGATCAGCAATTATCTATATTAAATGATCAACTACAGCAATAATATGAGTGTAGGCTATGTGACCAACCCACATAGAGTTTTGAAACACCAGTTTTAGAATTATAATATTGTATGACACTCATCATGAATTTGTAATATTGAGCTATCACCTTGTATCTTGTAATATTGAGCTATCACCTTGTATCTTGTAATATTGAGCTATCACCTTGTATCTTGTAATATTGAGCTATCACCTTGTATCTTGTAATATTGAGCTATCACCTTGTATCTTGTAATATTGAGCTATCACCTTGTATCTTGTAATATTGAGCTATCACCTTGTATCTTGTAATATTGAGCTATCACCTTGTATCTTGTAATATTGAGCTATCACCTTGTATCTTGTAATATTGCACTATCACATTGTATCTTGTAATATTGCCCTTTCACCATGTATCATACTTCAATGTTTCCAGGTGTGGCAGTGTTTTTGGGACTTTCCTTTGGAGCCATAGCTCTTTACATGGGGTACTCCTGGATAAAGGCTGTTGTTTTCCTTATTGGTATAATTGTGGCCAATGTTCCTGAAGGACTGCTAGCTACTGTTACTGTATGTCTTATTATTCAACTATTTTAATTTTTTAACTTGTTTGTTGAACATAGTCTTTAATGTGATGGATAGGTACTATCCACAACTTAGCTGAAACTTGAATTCTTCAGGTTTATATGTTGTTTATTCTAAGGCTTTCTTACAATGGTAAAACTACTTTTATTTCTCTGTAGGTGTGTTTAACTCTCACAGCGAAGCGCATGGCAAAAAAAAACTGCTTGGTGAAAAACTTGGAGGCGGTGGAAACTTTAGGCTCAACATCGACCATCTGCTCTGATAAAACTGGGACTTTGACACAGAATAGAATGACAGTGGCCCACATGTGGTTTGACAATGTCATCCATGAAGCAGATACAAGTGAAGACCAGTCAGGCAAGTTCTTTAATCAAACTGCTTGTTGTGTCTTACATTTTGCTAAGGTTTAGGATATGGTGTCGTCATAAATACAAAGGTTATAAATTTTCACTAAAAAAAGTCTTACATTTTGCTAAGGCTCAGGATATGATGTCGTCATAAATACAAAGGTTTTAAATTTTCACTACAAAAAAAATGTTTACAAATTCAAATTCGAGCCTCATTCACAAAAACTTCTCATTCATAATTTTCCTCATTGTGTATGTGCCGTATTTCTAAGAAAGCGCAGGTAGGTGGCACCACAGGGAATTAGGTAACATTTTCTTAAAGGCAGGAGTGGCCACTCTGCGTAGCAATTTCACCCATTGTACTAAATTAAATCTTTATTTTAGTGTACTGGTTACCAATAAACATTTCACAAAAAAAAACCTCAAGTTTGATAAACAGTTACTAATTCTAATTTTTTTTTGGCCAGAAAAAAAATCCCATAAATTTGCGAAACAAATACTGATCTGTTTGTAAAACAAATGTTTCAGTGGGAAATAAATTCATGGATCTACCTGGATGGCTGCCCATAGCACGCTGTGCAATGCTGTGTAGCAGAGCACAGTTTGTTGGGGGTCAGGAAAATGTACCCATTTTGAGGAGGTAAATTTTTATTAGGCCATGTCCCACCTCATTGTTCAATGTATGATCCTGACTAATGCTTATTTATCTTATTCTTTGACGTAACTGGATTGTGTGATCAGCCCTTTGCCCAGCCACCATTATAATACCTGGCTCAGACATACTTCAGACCTCGGTCGACTCTGATATCAGATTGACATGAGCCCAGGAACTGAACTCATGTCCCTTACGGTGACAGTGGAGTATCTTACCCCAGACCACAATGTCCCTTGGTTACATTGTAGATCTACCTACCACATTTTTAGCACAACAGTTTTTTTTGGAGGAGTTGAAAATAAATTGTCTGATGTATATTCAGTCCTTTTTTATTGTATGTATATTCAGTGCTTTTTTATTGTATGTATATTCAGTGCTTTTTTATTGTATGTATATTCAGTGCTTTTTTATTGTATGTATATTCAGTGCTTTTTTATTGTATGTATATTCAGTGCTTTTTTTATTGTATGTATATTCAGTGCTTTTTTATTGTATGTATATTCAGTGCTTTTTTATTGTATGTATATTCAGTGCTTTTTTATTGTATGTATATTCAGTGCTTTTTTATTGTATGTATATTCAGTGCTTTTTTATTGTATGTATATTCAGTGCTTTTTTATTGTATGTATATTCAGTGCTTTTTTAATTGTATTCCAGAGAATGTACTGGGGATGCTTCAGAAGCTGCTTTGCTAAAATGTACAGAGCTGGTTATAGGAAACGTTGCCCAGTATCAGAAAAACAATCCGAAATTGGTGGAGATCCCCTTCAACTCATCTAATAAATTTCAGGTTATTATAACTATCTGGAAAGTCTAGTCTATAACAAGATTGGTTATTTGGCAAAAGATGTTTCTGTATAATTTATTATTGAAAAACAGTAGGCTTTAGATAGTAAAAAGTTGAGCAAGTAAAGACATGTCAAGACCCTTTCAGTAGATTGCTAACCCAAATTTTTAAGTTCTGTTCCCTGACTCAAATCTATAGCCACACAGCTTTACCAGACTTTTTTGTAAAGTTTTCAAAATCCACCAAGCTGTATTGGGTACCTGACCAGTAAGGGCACACAGTTTCTCTAAACCATGAGGTCTCCTATTGACTTCAACTTGCTCCTATGTACAGACATGACTGGGTAGAGTACTACCCTTATATATAAAAGCTCATGTGCACATTTTTCAATACTGACACATCTTCCAATTCAAAAGTATGACATTGATTAGCTGACGACCAATACATTATTTTTTTTTGGCCAAAAAATAATAAAAATAAATGTATTAAAACCAGATTTGAGCTGAATCAGCTTGGGCATTCGATAAAGTGTTTTGTTGTTTGTTTTCATATTTGTATTTCTTATGAAATCTCAGTAATGTGTTACGAAACTCTAGTATATTATATAGAACTATAGAAAAAGTATTGTTAAGTGACACATAATTAACATTAACAAAAGAATTTTATTTAAAAATTTTAAGTCTTTTATGTATTATGTGATAAGATTTTACCTTCTTTAATTGACTGTACTAAAACATTTGCCAAGGTTTATGAGGTTTGGCAATTGAAACTTTCAGTGAAATAAGTAAAAAAAACAACAAAGAATAAAATATACTATTCCTATATCCATAGGTTTCAATTCACAAAACAGATAATCCTAACGATGACCAATTGCTTTTGGTAATGAAAGGGGCCCCTGAGAGAATATTAGAACGTTGCTCATCCTATTTGATGCACGGAGTAGAAAATACAATCAACCCTGAATTTCTGGATGAGTTTGATAAAGCCTATCTTGATCTGGGAGGCAGAGGGGAAAGAGTTTTAGGTAAGAGCCATTTTATCTGTCTTTAACAACTAGCATTTTTTAGGAACTAAAGATTGGTACATTTTTCATATGTTGGTTTCCCTTCGAGTGCTGTACATCTCTGTGTAGTGCCTAGTAATTTATTTGCTATTATTTGCAGTATATGGGATGGCATTGTACATTTTTCATATGTTTATTTCCCTTCAAGTGCAGTACATCTCTGTGTAGTGTCTAGTAATTTATTTGCTATTAGTTGCAGTATATGGGATGGCATTGTACATTTTTCATATGTTTATTTCCCTTCAAGTGGAGTACATCTCTGTGTAGTGTCTAGTAATTTATTTGCTATTATTTGCAGTATATGGGATGGCATTGTACATTTTTCATATGCTTATTTCCCTTCAAGTGCTGTACATCTCTGTGAAGTGTCTAGTAATTTATTTGCTACAAGCCGACCCGCTGCGTATCATACGCCGCTATTTAGTTGTTGTTTTTTTTTTCTACTTTTCAGTAATTTATAATTTGTGAATTCGACAGTACCATTGCTGCCACTGAAAATATTTGCTTAAAAACACTAAACCCCCCCCTTCCCCCCCCCCCCACGTGAAAGCAGCCTCCTCTTAGTTACCTCCTCTAAGTTTAAAATCGTTTCAAACTAAATTATCTGCCCCTAATAGCCGTCACCAAACTCGTCTCTATGATTGTAAAATGTAAACAGCGTGACCACAGCTCACCAGACAATGTGGGAGTGGTGTGGGGGTGGTAGTGATAGTGATAGAGAGAAAGAGAGGGGACTGCAAGGAGGCGCTTGCAGCTTGTTTTCTAACGGCTCCCAGAAGAGAATTATATATATAGATTATTTGCAGTATATGGGATGGCATTGTACATTTTTCATATGTTTATTTCCCTTCAAGTGCAGTACATCTCTGTGTAGTGTCTAGTAATTTATTTGCTATTATTTGCAGTATATGGGATGGCATTGTACATTTTTCATATGTTTATTTCCCTTCAAGTGCAGTACATCTCTGTGTAGTGTCTAGTAATTTATTTGCTATTATTTGCAGTATATGGGATGGCATTGTACATTTTTCATATGTTTATTTCCCTTCAAGTGCAGTACATCTCTGTGTAGTGTCTAGTAATTTATTTGCTATTATTTGCAGTATATGGGATGGCATTGTACATTTTTCATATGTTTGTTTCCCTTCAAGTGCAGTACATCTCTGTGTAGTGTCTAGTAATTTATTTGCTATTATTTGCAGTATATGGGATGGCATTGTACATTTTTCATATGTTTATTTCCCTTCAAGTGCAGTACATCTCTGTGTAGTGTCTAGTAATTTATTTGCTATTATTTGCAGTATATGGGATGGCATGGTATGTTATTTGTTAAAATCACTAGCTTGACACCACTGAATTTGTTGGAATCAATTGGCCTGACACCAGTTAAAATAATTAAGCTTGAAATCAACCACCTTTGAAATATTCACTGTTCTGTTATTCTAACATTTATTTAATTACACCCCCGTAGTATTGAAACTAATCTTCTACATCACGGGTTCCCAACCTGGGGGTTTCTGGGGAGTCGCCAACTGGTATACTAAACCTTAGTAATTTGAAACAAAACATAAATATTTAGAAGAATTTTTGAAATTCGGCTTTACTAACATCACTGGAAATGGAATAGAGAAGAAGCAAAGCGTACTGTACAAAGTTGTTCTCAGTCACGAATCTATGAAATCTTCAAAACTAAAACGTCATTTGACACGAGTCATTCGAAACACACCAAAAAAGATATGGAGTTCTTTTGTCGGTATGAAGCTAGTTGTAAACGTCAGAGACTTGATCGAACAGGAAGTTTTCACCAAGGAAACACAGCATTAGTGCAAGCATCACATGAAGTCGCGACAGAAAATGCCAAGCAAAAAAAAACACAATAGGAGAAAATCTCATCAAACGCTGCATGTTGAAGATGGTGAAGTTAATTCTTAAATGTCCGTAGATGTTAAATAACACATTTTTATTGAAATCAAGCTTTCACCATTGTTTGCTTTTCAAGTTGATAAATCAACAGACGCGAGTTCTTGTTCGCAGTTGCTGGTCTTTGTCTATATTTATTCAGATGATAGCAAAGAAGAGTTGCTCTTTTGTGAAGATAGCATGGAGGAAATAAATACGTTTTTTTTCTAAATTGGATGATTAAAATGGGTTAAAACGGCTGTGAGGGTTTGTACGGATAGGTCCACCATCTACGTTTAGGTTAAAATCGGGCTTTCAGAAAGCAGAAAAGATTTAGCTCCCTAACCACTGCCCTCACCAATCGCCATCAAGACTCCATTACTAGTATAATTCGTAAATTATATGAACTGAGCAAAGACCTGAATAAAGATCACGAGGTTCTGCTCTTCTACACTACAGTGCGCTGGCTGTCAAACGAATTGTTGTGAATCGTGTTTTTGAATTGAAATCTGAAATCAAATTGTTCTTGGAAATGCAAAGGAAACAAGACCTTTTGGTATACTTAAAACGACATAGAGTGGTTGGAGAGGGTTTCATACCTAGCAGATGTGTTCCAACATCAACATAAGGCATAAGCATATGAACGAATATTATCACATTCCATGATAATCTCGGGGCATTTTTTATCAAAGCTGCAAAATCGGCGAAGAAAATAAATCTTGGAAATATTTTAATTTTGAGAAACTCTGCAGTGTGGTAGATGAATCTAATTGTGAGATAATTAAAATTTTGAAAGAAGAAATTTCTGGACATCTTGAATCTATTGAAAACGAACTGAAGCGCTATTTCTCTGAGCTGAAAAAAAAAAAGAATTTGCATTGATGCATTATCCATTCTCTTCTTCCCTTGATGTTGCCAGCATTCCCGATGAATTACAAGATGAATTCTTTGATTTGTAGAATGATTCCGCGTAAAATGAAAAACTTCAGACACAATTTTGGTGTAGTATTAACCATTTATATCCAAACGTAAAATTTTTCGATTAAAAACAAAATTAAGATAATGATAATGACATAGGTTGGCGTTAACAAAAAAAAAGACTTTAAAAACAAAAATTAACCGCGAATGTTTAGTGAATTGTATGCAATTTTACTTATGGTATTAAAACAGTTATCAAGAGTAGTTCATATTGAAAGTCTACTAGAAAATTTTATTTTAGTGCTTATTGATTTCCATACTAATTTCGGCTTTTTAATTCTATGGGGGTCGCGGGTCACTTAATTTTTATAAAAGGGGGTCGCCACTCGAAAAAGGTTGGGAACCACTGTTCTACATAATTAAAAGACAATGTCAAATTGCAATTTTAACTTTACCTTCTTAATTACTGTAGCCTACAGAAAACTACCCTATCACTTATCCATTATACGCTAATACCCCAAAATTCATCTTGTAGTCCTCAAAACTTCTGATTTTATTTCCAACAGGATTTGCTGAGCTACAGTTGCCTGCGAAGACCTATCCTGTGACTTATCCATTTGATGCAGATAATCCCAACTTTCCTCTTACAGAACTAAGGTTTCTGGGTCTCATGTCAATGATAGACCCACCCAGGTCAGCGGTACCAGATGCTGTTGCTAAATGTCGAAGTGCTGGAATAAAGGTTTGATTTTTTAAAGAGAGATAATTTGAATTATGTGCAGTGCTTGACCTGATTTTATGGTGCAGGTTAATAGAGCAGGTTATATGTTTATGGTGCAGGTTATCATATGTTTATGGTGCAGGTTATCATATGTTTATGGTGCAGGTTAATAGAGCAGGTTATATGTTTATGGTGCAGGTTATCATATGTTTATGGTGCAGGTTATAATATGTTTATGGTGCAGGTTAATAGAGCAGGTTATAATATGTTTATGGTGCAGGTTATCATATGTTTATGGTGCAGGTTAATAGAGCAGGTTATAATATGTTTATGGTGCAGGTTATAATATGTTTATGGTGCAGGTTATAATATGTTTATGGTGCAGGTTAATAGAGCAGGTTATAATATGTTTATGGTGCAGGTTAATAGAGCAGGTTATAATATGTTTATGGTGCAGGTTATAATATGTTTATGGTGCAGGTTATAATATGTTTATGGTGCAGGTTAATAGAGCAGGTTATAATATGTTTATGGTGCAGGTTATAATATGTTTATGGTGCAGGTTATAATTTGTTTATGGTGCAGGTTAATAGAGCAGGTTATATGTTTATGGTGCAGGTTATCATATGTTTATGGTGCAGGTTATAATTTGTTTATGGTGCAGGTTAATAGAGCAGGTTATAATATGTTTATGGTGCAGGTTATAATTTGCTTATGGTGCAGGTTAATAGAGCAGGTTATAATATGTTTATGGTGCAGGTTATAATATGTTTATGGTGCAGGTTATAATTTGTTTATGGTGCAGGTTATAGTGGTGACATTCATGACACAGGTAGAATTGGTGACATGTTAATGGAGCAGGTTATAATGGTGACATGCTTATAGTGCAGGTTATAATGGTGATATGTTTATAGTGCAGGTTATAATGGTGACATTTTATGGTGCAGGTTATAATGGTGCCAATTTATGGTGCAGGTATAATGGTGACATTTTATGATGCAGGTTATAATTGTGACATCTTTATGGTGCAGGTTATAATAGTGACATTTTATGGTGCAGGTTATAATTGTGACATCTTTATGGTGCAGGTTATAATGGTGACATTTTATGGTACAGGTTATAATTGTGACATCTTTATGGTGCAGGTTATAATGGTGACATTTTATGGTACAGGTTATAATAGTAACATGTTTATGGTACAGGTTATAATAGTGACATTTTATGGTGCAGGTTATAATGGTGACATTTTAATGGAACAGGTTATAATGGTGATATGCTTATGGTGCAGGTTATAATTGTGACATCTTTATGGTGCAGGTTATAATGGTGACATTTTATGGTACAGGTTATAATTGTGACATCTTTATGGTACAGGTTATTATGGTGACTGGAGATCACCCAATAACAGCACATGCCATCGCCAAAGGGGTTGGAATCATCACACCTGACTGTAAAACAAGAGAGGAGATAGCTTTTGAGAAAAAGATACCTATCAATATGGTGAATCCTGAGTAAGTAATTGCTGTTTTGTTAAAGAAAGGCCTGTCACACGACAGGCATAAAAAACAGGCATAAAAAACAGGCATAAAAAAACGACTCAAAATTGTTAAAATGTATAAAATTATTTCCCTTTCCCTGTAACTCTTCTTGGCTTATTCTGTGTTTGGTATTTTGGTTGTTCCCCTTTGAAGATAAAGGATAAATGTATCCAAACTTTACATGGCATTTAGTTCCTAATAATTAAAATAAATCATCCACAGATTAATTTTATAAGTTTGAGCTTTTTTTTTTTTTGCAGTAGATCAGATGGGTGGTAAACTTGTAAGGTCAACCTGATGTACCCATTTTGTTTTTTAATTTTAAGACTGGTATAAAAAAGGATTAGCAAGCAATTTTCCAAAAATTATATATTTTTTTGCAACTGTTTACCATTTACATGGAAAACTTTTGGTTTTAATATGTTTCTTATTTTACTGCTATTTCATTTTTTAGAAACTTATGTAGTAACTAGTAAAACTAATGCAACCAATTCCGGGGACTTGCATTATACGAGGGTTGACATTTTAGGAGGGTTAACAGCATGCAAGTCTATAATTATAGGAGGGTTGACATTTTAAAACCTCACTTGAAGCTGTTCGACATTGATAAAAACATGCCTATAGTTGTACATAATATGTGATGTGAGGCATTGACTATGGATTTGCATATTTCAACTATCACTTATAAACAAAACATTTTTTTTTACCAAAATACTGTAATACTGTGCAAAAACAATAACACTATTTATTTTCTATTTGATTGAGAATAATTAATAATAACAATAATGTATAATAAGCATACAAATGAATCTGGGTTCAAGTCAATAGACTGTATTGAGTCAACCTAATTCTGATGGGTACCTAACTCACATTAGGGAAACAAAGTTGGCTGGGCATAGTGCAGACCACATTATCCCTTCATATGTTGAGGTCTCAGCAGAGGAACTCTATTTCATCTACCCCATGTGTCTTGTGCACAAATGGGAAAAGATAATACAAATGAATTATAAATATCAAATATACTGTTAAAAGTACAGTCTGTATTCTGCACTTAGTAGTGTACATCATGACAGGGATAACTGCACTTTGTTTACAAGGGATGGGGAGATGTTAACAGTACAACAGGTTTTATTAACCCCCCCCCCCTTCCCCCAATATCATCTACTTTATAACCAAGCATTACCCTCCTAAACCATCTACTTCTTCACAATGCCTGTGCACTTTGTTCTATGAATTGGGGTTTATTCTACGGCACAGTTCCACCCAACTCTGATGGGTACCTAACTCACGTTAGGGAAGCTAAAGGCGGCTGGGCATAGTACTGACCACACTATCTCTTCATACGCCGAGGTCACAGAAACAAGTGAACTCTACTTCACTTGCCCCATAGACCGTCAGTTTTGAAAGGGAAACTTTACTTTGCTTTTACAGATTCATTGTTGGGTTATTGTAAAGAATCTGTTTGAGGCTTTTTTTCTATGAATCACCACTGTATGTTCTAGTTTTTAAGCACCAATTTGTATTTGATTTCACCCCTCAGAGAAGTCAAAGCAATAGTCATACAAGGGGAAAAACTGAAGAATATGACCTCTACAGAACTGGATGATGTTTTAAAACAGCATGATGAAATTGTATTTGCGCGCACATCACCTCAGCAAAAACTGATCATAGTGGAAGGCTGCCAGAGAGCGGGGGCTATTGTGGCTGTGACTGGAGATGGTGTTAACGACTCCCCTGCGCTGAAACAAGCAGATATAGGTGTGTTTTGCTAATGAATCTGAAACTTTCTTTCTTCTTCTTCTTCGTTCTTAATTTTTAGTGTTGGGAGGGATCGAGCCTTATCTGCCAGAGGGTTTGAAATCGAGACTTTTTTTTTCGAATTTATCAACCATGAGCTTTGCAGACTCGACCATGCTTCCATTACAATTAAGGATTACGTGTCAACTGTTTATGCGCCAAACTTTCTTTAATTTCTTGGTATTGTAGAATGCTTCTTCTGCCACTTTTTGCTGTATTGTAGAATACTTCTGCTACTTTTTGCTGTATTGTAGAATACTTCTGCTACTTTTTTCTGTATTGTAGAATACTTCTGCTACTTTTTGCTGTATTGTAGAATACTTCTGCTACTTTTAGCTGTATTGTAGAATACTTCTTCTGCCACTTCTTACTGTATTGTAAGATACTTCTTCTGCTTCTTAATTTCTGTTGTTGTAGGATACTAATTCTGCCACCATCCGTAATTTCTTGAATTAAAAATAATTTTTTCTATGTTAATGATTGATAATATGCAGCTCTGTTTCATAAAGTTTTATTAGATTTTTGTGAAAGAGTTTTTAAAAAAGTCTTCATGAAACCTAAGCTTAAATACAGCCTACCATCTACAAATTATCTGTACTATATGTTAATGTAACTTCAACTATCAAATAATTTTACAGAGAAATAAACTCAAACAAATCTTTACTTGACTAAAAAAGCAGATCTTCTGGACTGTACAAAAAATATTAAAAACCCTGTACTATCATGGCAGCTTTGTTATGTAGTGATGTCTTTGTTTTGGAAGTGCCACTATATTTCACTATGAAATGGTTTAAATTGCAGGTGTGGCTATGGGTATTGCCGGAAGTGATGTGAGCAAACAAGCTGCGGACATGATTCTACTGGATGATAATTTTGCTTCTATTGTCATGGGAGTTGAGGAAGGTAAGAGTCATGACTTCCTGCAGTATTGGGTCTTAGACATAGCATTTACCTCTTACTGAGTCTTAGTTAGACATAGCAAGATTCATGAATTCCTGCAGTATTGGGTCTTAGACATAGCATTTACCTCTTACTGAGTCTTAGTTAGACATAGCAAGATTCATGAATTCCTGCAGTATTGGGTCTTAGACATAGCATTTACATCTTACTGAGTCTTAGTTAGACATAGCAAGATTCATGAATTCCTGCAGTATTGGGTCTTAGACATAGCATTTACCTCTTACTGAGTCTTAGTTAGACATAGCAAGATTCATGAATTCCTGCAGTATTGGGTCTTAGACATAGCATTTACATCTTACTGAGTCTTAGTTAGACATAGCAAGATTCATGAATTCCTGCAGTATTGGGTCTTAGACATAGCATTTACATCTTACTGAGTCTTAGTTAGACCTAGCAATTACATCATTTTGAATCTTACTTAGACCTAGCAATTACATCTTACTGAGTCTTAGTTAGACCTAGCAATTACATCTTACTGAGTCTTAGTTAGACCTAGCAATTACATCTTACTGAGTCTTAGTTAGACCTAGAAATTACATCTGACTGAGTCTTAGTTAGACCTAGCAATTACATCTTACTGAGTCTTAGTTAGACCTAGCAATTACATCTTACTGAGTCTTAGTTAGACCTAGCAATTACATCTTACTGAGTCTTAGTTAGACCTAGCAATTACATCTTACTGAGTCTGAGTTAGACCTAGCAATTACATCTTACTGAATCTTACTTAGACCTAGCAATTACATCTTACTGAGTCTTAGTTAGACCTAGCAATTACATCTTACTGAGTCTGAGTTAGACCTAGCAATTACATCTTACTGAGTCTGAGTTAGACCTAGCAATTACATCTTACTGAGTCTTAGTTAGACCAAGCAATAACATCTTAATGAGTCTTAGTTAGACCTAGCAATTACATCTTACTGAGTCTTAGACCTAGCAATTACATCACACTGAGTTTAAACCTTTGGAATCCAACATTATTCATTGTGTTTTTAACAAGAATGTAGGATTCAGAATAAAAGAATACATAAATATCAACTAATGCTTAAGACATAGTCAGGAATTTGTTTGGGAGATAGCTGCAGAAAATATTATGTCTGTATAGACAGAAAATATTATGTCTGTTTATATAGAAATAGAAAATATTATTATTTCTGTTAAATGCAGTCTTTTGACATGTTTTTCCAGGTCGTCTAATCTTTGACAACCTAAAGAAATCAATAGCATATACCCTGACATCAAACATTCCTGAGATCACACCATTCCTCATGTTCATATTGCTTGAAATCCCACTACCTCTGGGTGTGGTCACTATCCTTTTCATTGATCTGGGAACAGACATGTATCCAGCCATTTCCCTAGCTTATGAGACCTCAGAACAAGATATCATGAAGCGCAGACCTCGAAATGCCAAGACAGATAAATTGGTCAATCAAAGGTAATACAGGTCGATAATTATTAATGGGACATCATCATCATCATCATCATCATTCCTTTGTGGCCCCTGGGGAGCAAAGGGCTGCAACCACACATCCCCATCGGACTCGGTTTTGGGCTGCCCCCTTTATCTGTGCCCAGCTGCTTTCGCCTCTTCTTCAACCGTTCTTCTCCATGTCTTCCTTGGCCGGCCCACCCTCCTTTTTCCCTGGGGATTCCAGTCTAAAGCATGCCTTGCGATGTTTTCTTTTTCCTTTCTTAATGTGTGTCTGATCCATCCCCATTTTCGGGGACAGTGTTGTCGAATGATAGAGCATTCCATATACTCTAGCCCGGGATCCGAACTTGAAATTTTTATTGTTAGTAGTCTTACACACAAACATCCAGACCATCCAATGCAGTCTTTAGTGCTGTAACAGAACTGAAGGTTTTCGGCATCACAATAGTGTCCCTACTACATGACAATATAAAAGGCCCATTTTTATTTTACTGGTTTTTACTTGTAAACATTTTTGTTGATTGGTTTATTTTATTCTAATTTTTAGGCTCATTTCCATGTCTTATGGCATTATTGGATTTCTACAAGCCTGCTGTGGATTTTATGTTTATGTTGTTATTCTGGCTGAAAATGGTTTTTGGGCCTATGACTTGCTGAAGCTTCGTGAAAGTTGGGATGCAAAATCTATTAATGATCTCCCAGATTCTTATGGACAAGAATGGGTAAGTTTACATGCCACAGGTTTTGGAAGATTTTGTTATGGAAGATTGTGGCTGTGCATAGTGCTGACCATATGATCCCTCCATATGCTGCTTTTAAGAAACATGTACTCTACTTCATCTGCCCGATGGATTATTAAGTCTAAAGTGGAACCATTTTACTTTAAAATTGGCTTAAACAACTGTGTCATGTTAATTTTGTTAGGAGTAATTACACTTAACAAAATGTACCAACAATTTACTAAGGTATATTTTCGAAATATTTAATTTTACACAGTTATGCCCTTTTGAGGTGCAGAAAATGGTATGTTTGAGTTCATGATTTTATGGCCACTGCGTGAAAGAATAGTGTTTAGTAGAATTCCCAGCTGCCATTATTTGATCTGTTGTTTGCTTTTGAGAATTAACTTTTGTAAGGAGATCCACTTTCTTCATTTGGGGAGAATTTTCAACAGGAAAAAATATTTCAAAACCACACAATTAGTCAAACCCAATTGGACATGTACTATATTTTATGAAATACAATATAAATTTCTTTTTTAAAACTCTAATATTTTTTCATTCTAGTGCAGTAGTTCTTATTAACCTCTTTAGAGGCACCAAACTCCACCAGCTTCATTTGCGTATTCATCAAACCCTTCTTAATAGCAAAAAATAAAATATGATTTTTTTTTTCCAATTCAAAACAGAGGTATATATTTTACTATTGCAATAAATGAACATCACCGTGTTCTAAGAAGTAACTATTCAAATATAATTTTCACACAAAAACAAAAACATAATAATAAATATTTACTGCAATTCAGTGTGACTTCTGCAGTTTGCCTTTCAGGCACTAGTTCAGATATGTGCAGCTTTGCCTTGAATTCGGCCAGCGCCATTTTCTTGTATTTTCCATCTCCTTGTAGCTTAAGGAAGTGTTTCCTTAGTTTTGAACAATTGTGCAGTTAGGTTGCCAACTCTCTTGAAGTTCCATTCTACATGTAAATCCATATTGCACCTATTTGTCTGACCACTTTTTTTTTGCTCAACATAGTATCAAGTGATTAAAATATTAAGAAAGAAATCACATGACGTACTATCAAGTGATTAAAATTTTAAGAAAGAAATCACATGACGTACAATTACAACAGTCACAAGCTGACTAATGGGCCACGAAATAGAAATAAAGTATGTTTTTCACAGGACGTATATTCACATATTATCTCACACCTATATAGGTGGCGTTGACACAATAAGTGAAGTGTGTTTTGTGTCATCAAGGGTTCCATGTTAAAAAATTCTTACAATACTCATATGCATTATCTCACTTTGGCACACTTAATTACTATATTTGTGCAAACGTATTTTAACTGAGACTGACTCATGAACCGCTAGGGTAATATCAAACCCAGGTTAAGAACCACTGTTCTAGTGTCTAATAATACATGTACAGTAAAAGTGTGTTGGGTTGGCAGTAGTGAACTAATTGACTTATATTACCTTTTACTGCTTATACTAAACATAGAAACTAAGACCAAGCTTTATTAGAAAATTGTAATATAACCCCTAATAACCTACTAGTACATTTATTTGCTTAGTTTATCTGTTGCTCATGTATGTTGTTTTATGAGAAAAGTGTTTTTATTCACCAGACGTACAGTCAACGTAAGGTCTTAGAGCAAACATGCCACACCGCCTTCTTTGTTAGCATTGTGATTGTACAATACGCAGATCTCATTGTCTCAAAGACACGCAGGCTTTCACTCTTTACCCACGGAATGGGGTAGGTTCAATTCTAGAGTTTGTTTGTATCTTTGTGGGTGGGTGGTTTGGATTTTTGTGATAATATGGGAGGGGGAAGGGGATTATAAAAACTGGCTAACATTTAATATGACGTCTTAGTTATACTCTTTCTTTGACCCTGTTGTGGCTTTTTAAACAAATTACTGTAAAATTATTGTAATATGTTGTCTCTATTGTATTTATCTTAATTTAAAAAAAACAAAAATATTACTAAATATGAAATACATCAAGTCAAATATATTTTAAAAGCTTAAATTTAAACTAAAAAGTTTAAAAGGTGCGTGGATCCTTTATCAAGTACTCATGAATAATAGAGCTTAAATTTTCTTTTCCAGGAACTGGCCGTTAAACTTTTCCCTCGTATTTGAAACTGTCTTGGCCTTAGCCATTGCATACCTTCCCTTCATGACGTTTTTAAAAGTTAGGCCACTAAGGTAAGTACAGACTTGGCTGTAGGTCAGAAAATTTGGGGCCAGTGTGAACTTAGGGCAGAAAAGTTGGGGCCACTGTAAACTTAGCCTTAGGTCAGAAAAGTTGGGGCCACTGTAAACTTAGCCTTAGGTCAGGAAAGTTGGGGCCACTGTAAACTTAGCCTTAGGTCAGGAAAGTTGGGGCCACTGTAAACTTAGCCTTAGGTCAGAAAAGTTGGGGCCACTGTAAACTTAGCCTTAGGTCAGAAAAGTTGGGGCCACTGTAAACTTAGCCTTAGGTCAGGAAAGTTGGGGCCACTGTAAACTTAGCCTTAAGTCAGGTAAGTTGGGGCCACTGTAAACTTAGCCTTAGGTCAGGTAAGTTGGGGCCACTGTAAACTTAGCCTTAGGTCAGGAAAGTTGGGGCCACTGTAAACTTAGCCTTAGGTCAGAAAAGTTGGGGCCACTGTAAACTTAGCCTTAGATCAGAAAAGTTGGGGCCACTGTAAACTTAGCCTTAGGTCAGGAAAGTTGGGGCTAGTGAGGTAGATTTAAAACTAGGCTTGGCTCAGAAAATTATAGGGTTTTAAATCTAAATTATTTGCCCATTATTAATGGCAGTGTTAGTTTCCCAGGTTTGAAAATGTAGAGAACATCTGCTCACCACAATCACCTGGCTGATCATGTGATCACTAATACTTATCTCCCTTTTATTATTGAATGTAGTAATCTTCAATTAAATTATAATGAAAATTATTTAGTTTGCTTTTCATTGGAAATTGATTTACCTGCAAAAGGATATTGCAACCTTAGAAATAGGTCAAAATGGAGTGAGTTTACAACAAACCCACCTACCCACAGGTGGACATTGTTACCAAAGAAAAAACTATTTTAAAAAAACTTGTTTTATGTACAGCTAACCATAGTCAACTTTTACTGTAGACTTTGCTTCTTTCAGCTGTATCACACATAAATGTTTTGCTCTGGTGTTGACAAACCTTTTCAACCTAGCACCCTAGTAGTAGCCCTTATACACACACTAAATTATGTACTAGACTCCTACCTCATGTGTTCATTATAATATTACTCTAAAAACACTGGTACTTCTAATTAAACTTATTGACAAAAGTACATTTTGGTACTGAACTTTACAGCTTACTTTTAGTTGTACATGTTGATGTTGGCATTTTCAGGTATACCTATTGGTTTCACCCTTTGCCCTATACTTTCACCCTGTGGACTATGGATGAGTGCAGGCGATACATTCTTCGGATTCACCCCAGAGGATTTGTTGAGAGGGAAACGTATTACTAACGTCATGCAAGACCAAACTGATACATTCAGAGTTGACAAATTTATTTTAAACATTTTAAATGGTGGTTTTAATATTTTTTTAAAAGGAATTAGCTTAAATATGTTTCAGTGTTGATCATGTTTTATAGAAAAGACATTCCAAATAATTAATATGGGTCTTGTGTTTTAACTGAGTACAATCAAGTACTTTAGTTTATAGTTTTATGTTGTGAATCATGTCAAGTATGAGTTAGATTCTACACAAAGGGATTAACTAACTAGTTTGCTGGTTCAACTATTGGCATATTTATCTTTTATTTTAAATTTCAAGTAATAAATTGCAGTTTAAAAAAAATAACAACTGGGTTTTCATGTTTGAGATACTGAAATAATAATTTTAATATAAGAATTTTAACATTGTGAGGAAAAAGAAAAATAATACAATAAAAATAATGTGTAGATTTATTTAAACATTGACAAGAACAAGAAGTGACGCAAGTAGTTTAAAAACATAATAAACAAGTCACATTACAGTAATCATCTCAGTTAAGTCTCTAAAACATTTGGAAAGATATAGAAACTTTACATATCACAGTGGTTAAATATATAAGGCTGCTGGTGGTGCAGTACACCATTGTAGTAAGGCCACTTGGCTAAGATAAAAAAACAACCTGTCGTAGTTTTACAACAAAAAAAAAAGTTCCAGCCTAAAATAAAAAGTTAACCAGATGCATATCAATGTCTAGAAACTTCCAAACAGGTATAAAAATAAATTGCTTAGGTGTTACATCTTGACAGGAATCAACTTTATACAGAACATATAACAATTATTTATAACACTATGCTAATGAAAAACCCACAGTATATATGGGTATATATTATGTTGAAGCTGAAATATTTATTTAGAAAGAATACCTCTACTGGCTTTAAAACTTCTTTGGTATAAAAAGTTTTGTTGATTTTATTATGCATACATTAAGGCACTTAAGGGATCATCTGTAATTGATGAAATTCAGCAAGGATGTTATGTGAAGATGGACACGATAAAGGGGTGGGTTAAGAAAATAAAAGGGCCACCTACTAAAACAACGTGGAGTATTGGTATACTAGATCGCTGTCCCCTGTTTAAAGATAGTAAAAAAAGTGTCAAAAGTGTGTTATTCTCTTTAGTCTGGTACAGTGCTGTACCAATTTTAAAAGTGGGGGGAAAACTGTATTATGTATTAGGAGGGTTTGCACTGCATTAACTTCAAGTGAGGTTGTTAAGAGATAGGTTTGAACCAAATATTCAGGACGCTGTGGGATTAGCTCTCAACTTAAGAAACTTGTGAGATTAGATGTTTGTAATGAAATTAAGTTCATTTAGCTATCTTTACTTACTTATTCATCTGTGCACGCATTTGTGCTAGAGTTAAATAAATAGATATGGATACAACCATAAGTGAATAGTAGATACATGTTGGTTTGCATTAACATTTGAAGAATAACAACAGACATAGAATGCTAAGTGACTTATCTGGTGGTGAAGACATGTATATCCCAGGGGTCGGCAACCTGCGGCTCGCGAGCCGCATGCGGCTCTTTTGATATCAAGATGCGGCTCTCTAGCTCCTTGAAAAAATACTAATAATCTTAATAAAAAAATAATTATTTGAAATAAAAAATATGTTTGTGGCTCTTTAAAACCAGGGAAATTTTGAAAATTGTAACTTTTGGCTCTTCCGCTTCAAAAGGTTGCCGACCCCTGGTATATCCTACACTAGGCGTGGCTATCTTGGGGGACTGCCAAGACCATTGCCAGAGACCAGCACAAGTGGAAAAAGCTTTCTGTGGTGGCCCATGTGTCTTGGGCACAAAAGGGAGAAGATTATATACTGCACTAATTTGCAATAGGTTTCATGGGTATATCCAGGTTTTCAGGGGGAGGGTATATAAAGAACCCATCTTTTCGCTAATACAAATAGCCAAATTTGATAAAAGCATTATGCCAGAAATGAGAATTAAGCACATTATGTTCTTTGTGCAATGGGAAGTACCTTTATAATATAATAACAAAAACTACTGTAAATAAAAGAATTCTCCCATGTGTTGCTTCCCCTGTTCTACTACTTGCCTCAGAAATACTGTGCTAAGTAATAAAAAATCTGATCAACAGAAAGCTCTCTTATGTACTGATTTTTCATGGGTCATCCATTATTGACATCCACAACTGGGATTTTAGACCTACCTCTTCCTTGTTCTAAGCATAATCATTTTAGCAATACTAGCAGATTTCAACAATGTTGGGTACTTTCTAGCAATACTAGCAGATTTCAACAATGTTGGGTACTTTCTGATTTGGTCAACAGTGGAAGCTGTTAAATCTGTTTTTAGGAGTCAGAGATTTAAAATGTACTAAACCCAGGTGCAATAATCTGTTTGCAAATTAAACACAACGGTGGCAAAAATTAAATTTTGAAGAGAATCATTGTGCAGACCACTAATGAATTAATTATTCATTAAAGCGGTTTTTTAGTATTTGATTAACTGTATTGAGAAGTTGAATAGGAACATGATGGGAAAACCAAAAACAATGACCAGAAAACTAAGCCAGACTATATATGAATAAAAACTTGACAATGTTTTAAAAATGCATATTGTAGTAAAATGCTTTACTACTAAAATTTGTAAAATAATCTGTTAAGTAATATGCTTATATGAAATGCTTGGAGAAGACTTAAAAATAATAGGTATAAGTATAAAAAATAATGTAAAATAATTCTGAACACTGGTTTTCTGATTAAAAAATGCCCCCCTCAGGTTAACTATGACTAACGAGTATATCTTTAAGTAGCTCCGACAGTGAAGAGTTAATCCTTTGAAAAAGCCTGTGTTTCACTGGGATCAGAGTCCAATCTGTTCAGTTTCTTTTGTATGGAGAAGAAACAGAGCAGCAGCAGGGGCAGGATGACAACCACAGACAGGCCAGCCATGACGTAGGACAGGATCAAAAAGGATTTCTCTGTGCTCTCTGGTTTCATGTAGGCGCACTTTGTCAAAGTGTCTGGAAATAAAGGGAGTAGATTTTGAGAAAATGTGAAGTAATATGTTTGGATTGGTGAACAGAAAGAAGCGCAATGGAAAACGGTGCAATAGAAAGTGACAAGGATATTTTTGTTTTCTTAAATCAAGCAATTATAGGCAAAAACAAATAGTGTACATTGCAGCATAATAAAATATATATCCAAGAAATTTGACAAAATTCAAATGTATTAGTATAAATAATTTGTAATTGCTCGTATTTGTTAGCACATTTTTCTGATTGCGCATTTTTACTGGGAACAGTCCGAAATGCATTTTGCTAAGAACTTTATTTCTTCTGCAACTAAAGGTCGATAAAGATTTTAGGTAACAAAGTTAAAAACAGGTGGTTTTAGATATAGTAACAGACTCTTGGGGACCTGACTAAAATAGCTTTAATTACTATGTATTTGATAAATCTTCTTGAACCCCTAAGCTGTATGTTGTCATTGACATCTACTATAGCTTGCCATCCAGCTGTCACCATTATGTGTCTAATATTATACACCAACACTATGTATCAGTTAATGACAGATATTCTAGTGTAGGCCTACATTTTATATGGGTATTTAAATATAGAGACTAAGTCCTTGAAAATTCCGCTTAAAAAAACCATTGGAAGACATTTAATTTAAAATCAAATTATTCCATTAAATATTTTACAAACTATTGAATTCATGGTATTGTATAATAACATCCTCTCTCTCTTGCACTTGCATGTACAAAATGGTGTTGGTTACATTAATAAATACCCAGGTGTGTTTCTCTTTAAGACAAGTATATTGATTAGATCATTACTATTTATGGAAGATTTGTCCCAGGTATTAAAAGGCTTAAAACATATCAGATGGAATTCATCACTAGCAAATATTGTAAATGACACTTAACTGCTTGCGACATTGGGACCTTCAACTGTGACAGCAAGCAATGGGTGAGAGGGATCTGGCAATGGGCACGTAGTCTGACCAAATCCAATTTTTGAAGAATTGCGATCAAACACTACATAAAAGGCTTCCATTAGAACGGCGCCGAGCACGGTGCCGCTGGTGGAGGAGGAGAAGCCAAATTTGACACAAGACAATAATGGATTGCTTATATCTGTCTCCACGAGTCTCAGGTAGTGCTGGAACAGATAGATAAATTTTTAAAACTTTAAAATAAATTTAAAATATAATTTAAAGAACATGCAGTTATAAAATCAAGCTGTGCACTGATTTTTGGTGAACCTCCACAACTGGAACTTAAGACCCATCCATGTCCACTTTTTGTACTTTGCTATGCTAATAATTTATATAGTGATTAATTCTTTTATGTATATTATTGCTTATCAAAAGTAGAATCTAGAATGTGTTGAGAAAAATGTTTTATAAGTATAAATCTATAATGAGTGCTTGTTTTAATTTAAGATTTTAATGTTATTCATATCAACCAAAAACTAATGCAGTCTATTACTATTAAACATTTATTTCTATATGGAATGAAGTTTTAGAAGTATTCTGAAATCAGACACAGTGTTATAAGAAAAATGTAAGACCAACTCAGGTTGATGACCCCTATATCTGTTTGCGCATTTACAGCTGGGGTAGCTATTTTCTAAATATAGTCATCGTAATTTAATTTTCGACAGAGCTGGATTATTTTAAAAAAAAAGCACTGCTGTGTCAAATGGTTTGAAATTAGTGTGAGGGAGGAAGCAAGTGTGGTAATAGGCTTGAAAAGCTGGTTCCAAATGGTTAAAGCCTGAAAGCATAATTTTTAACCAAAAATGAATATTTTATAACATTTGTGTAATAAGTACAAAATGTCTTTTACAAAGTCTAGAAATATTCAAACAAATAATCACTAGGTAGTAATATAATTTTTCTTCTTCTTCTTTGTTCTTAAATTTTGTGTTGGAAGGGATCCCCTTCAACACAATTAAGAGTATGTGTCAAATGGTTATGCGCCATTGAGGCCATCGACTTAGATTTCAGCCTGCTTTTCTTTTTGGATTTGCTTCTTCTATAGCCTTTGTCCAACCAAGAACAAACTACAAGGCAGCAGTTGTTTTATTTTGGAGTTGTCTCTCCTAGAAGAGTGGCTGTACCCAGCTAACGAGCTTTATCTGCCCAAGGGCTTTAACTCAAGACTTTTCTGTGTTTAGCAACGAGCTTTACCGACTCGACCACGCCGACCCCTTAATATAATAATTTAACAAACAATTTTATTTTTAATATGGATTAGTAGAGTCAGGGTGTTGTGATGATAGGGGATGTTATATTATTTAATATAAATAAACTACTATGTTATACCCCATTGACTGCTATTGTGTATTTTATCATGGAAAACATTTGTTGTGACTTTCATTTTCATTGTTTTACTCTCCCTGGCCATCCGGTTTACTTCAAAGAGAAGAAGAGGGCGTTTTTTTAAATATTTGTATTGATAAAATAATTCTAAATTGCTTTTCAACAGCTTATATTCAATACAAAAATAAGAAAATGAGTGTAATTGATGGTTCCCAAACAGCTTAAATTTTTTTAATGTAATTATAATTTTATTGCTTGCCATATTTAAAAAAAATTTTTAGTATGATTACATAGCCTTTTTAAGCCTATTGTGCGGGAGGAGGAATCATAAAAGGTTTTAAATTAGGGTGATAGAAAAACCTGTTTAGCTAGGCGGAATGGAGAATTGGAAGAGGTTTGTGTGCAAAGGTAAATGTAATGAGCTTGTCTTCAGGCAGACCATTACCCACAATGTATAACACAGGCCAGCTAGTTATACAATAGAAGATAATACCACTTAAGCATTGTGTATCCAGTTCAACACTAGACAATTTACGGAGTTAACTCTAAACCAGAGAGCCAGCATCTTCCTATTACCTGTGGTGTTAAGTGCAAGTCAAACGATATGTTCTCTGATTCAAACAGGGTGAAGGTCACTACTGGGAAAGCTTTCAAGGGCAAGGCCATGTCGAAGAAACATTGAATATCACCCGTGTAGAAATATTTATCCGGTTTATCAATGATTCCATTTTTCTGGTGAAGATTTTGTAAAACATATAGGATAGGACATGTTTCTTTCCGAGCAATATAAAACAAAATATTGAAAATATTCAGGGATTTAAATTCTCCAAGGTATCAATTACTTTTAGTTCAAACAGTTATCTTAAAAATAAAGTAAAGAATCCTCAATTGGGTAGATGAAGTAGATTTCATATGTTTCTAGACTTTGGCATATGAAGGGAAGGTGTGGTCAGCACTTTGCCCGATCCATCTTTACTTTCCCTAACATGCATTAGGTACTCATCAAAGCTGGGTGGACTCAGGGGCGTTCTACTGACTTGAACCCAGATTTTATCTCGAGACTTTCAGATTAGCAGCCATGCGCTCTACTGTTTAGGCCACACTGTCCCAGTTATCTTAATGTCATGTTACTGATTTGAAAGTCACGTAATTTAAAAAACAAATTTTTAAATCTTATGTCATGTTAAGTTGAGATACATGATCGCTCTGACAAACGAGGTTTCAAGAAAAATAAAAAGAAATGTTAATTACCCTGATGTGTGAATCTATACTCTTGACTAGTGCATCAAATACTTTATTAGGTAGTCTGATGTTGGTGGTTCCAGAGTCTACGATTGTCTTGTCAAAGTTATACTAAAAAGTAGGATCAGCAAATAAAATAAACATACCAAAACATAAAATTTGTATTACAAAAAACACAGAATCAGCTAATTAAATATTAAATATATATAAAAAGTAACATTCAATCGACTAATGTACTGTAGAGAATAATAAAATAAATGTAAATAAAAGTTATGCCAAAACAAATAAAATCTAATAATTATAAGTAAATGTAAGTCTTGAATTATAAAGTAAAATACACAAGTGTAAATGTAAACGATATGATCAATGAAAAGAACCAACAAATTAAATGTCAAAGATATGCAGAAACCAACACAGAATCAACAGAATAAATATTAAAAATATGCAAAAACAAAAATAGAACTGAAATAATACTTAGATATAATTTTTTTTAAGACATTGTAGTATTTATTTCTCTTTTTTACAGTAATCTGCTTCGTTGGTGAGGCTAAAACATAAAGGTTAAGACAGAACGGTTAATTAATATTCTGTTATGCAGAAAAATAAAAAAAATAACATTAAAAGGACAGTAAAAACCATATAACTGGTACTGAGAGTTTTTATCAGTAAAAAAAAAAAAGCAGAACATAAAAAACATATTAAACTATTTGATAAGGTACTGAAAAATGCATTACACTATCTCCTAATGAAGTAGCGTAGCCAGGATCGTCTCTAGGGGGGGGGGTTCCAATTTTTACCGGGGGGACAAACTTTCGATTTGCACCCCCCCTCATACTTTTTATATATATACCGAGGGGTCTATGCCTATGCCACTGTCCTAATGTATAATAAAGCCAACAGTCAAAATCCAAGTGAACAGATTTTACAATGGATAAAATTTAAATACTCCAGTAGCATCAAGCTGACTTTTGGACCTACACTGCAAGGTGTGTCTTCAAGAATTCTTCACCATTGAGCTAATGAAATAATGGAAATAAAAAACTCTTTATAATCCAGTTTTAGAGAAGTGACTTGTATTCTGATGTCTGAGAGTTGATACCTGAGAATTCTACATGATTTAGTTGACAAGTTGAAGCTAATGAAATATGGAAATAAGAACCTCTTTACAGTCCAGTAACAGAGAAGTGCCTTGTATTCTGATGTCTGAAAGCACCACCTCGTAATACCATTTCTTGTATATTGGGGTGTACAGTATTGGGCTCTTAGACAGGGATTCATTCACAGCACCGAATATCTGTGGATAAAAATAAAAATACTTAACCACTGATAGTTTTCTTCCAAATAACAATACAATTTTAAAGAACAAAATAGAAATCTAAAGAAATCTGCTTTCAACTATACCTTTAAATTGTAAAAAGAAAAAAAAATTATAAATTTTCAAAATATGAGACAGCTTAAAACTCCCACTCCCAGCAATTAAAAACAAAAACACCCAGCAGTTAAAAAACAAAACTCCCAGCAGTTAAAAAACAACCCCCAGCAGTTAAAAACAAAAACACCCAGCAGTTAAAAAACAAAACTCCCAGCAGTTAAAAACAAAACCCCCAGCAGTTAAAAAACAAATATCCCAGCAGCTAAAAAACAAAACTCCCAGCAGTTAAAAAAACAAAAACCCCAGCAGTTAAAAAACAAATATCCCAGCAGTTAAAAAACAAAACTCCCAGCAGTTAAAAAACAAAACCCCCAGCAGTAAAAAAAGCTACAACTCACCAGAGATCCTTCCATTAGTGGCTTCATTGAGTGGACAAAGGATGACCCACACAACAGCATGGAAAACACATCTTTTAGTTCAGGGTTTGCCTGGCGCAAGGAATCCCAGTATGTCGTAACAGATGAATCTGGCTGGAATAGCAAACTGTTAAATTAACAACTAAATTTAACGATTAAATCTCACATGGTGTAAGTGAGAATTAAGACCCTCTATGTGGCTTCGAACCAATGGTTAATTTTTAAGATTTTCAGTCAGTTAATAAAAAAATTATTAATGCTGATTGCTGTTAAGTAATCAAGACCAATAACTGTAGAGAAATATTAGCTTTACTGTTTAAACTTTTCCAATTTTTTTCTTCTTAGTTCTTAAGTGCAATGTTGGACATGATTTCATCAAGACAATTAAGAATTAAGTGTCAACTTGTTGTATGCGATAGGGCCTGTTTACTCAAAGAACAAACTACGAGGCAGCAGTTGTTTAATTTGGAGTTTTCCCTCCTAGATGAGTTATTGTCCTCATCTGCCCAGGGGTTTGAACTAGGGACTTTTCAGTTTAGTTTGGCAACTATGAGCTTTACCTGACCTTCTAGGGGATTTAGAAAATTAAAAATTTCCTATCTAGATTCATCTATACCATGACTGTTAGTAAGCTACTTTGACAAGAACATTTCAATGTTTTTATTTTTATAAAGTTTCCTCTACAAATATGTGCACATGTAATCTGCTACACATGTTAAACAAAGATATAGGTAAAGATATAAGAAATTAAACAACAAATTTAACACAGCAGTAGAAAAGATTTATAACGAATATGTCTGAATTTAAAAATAAAAAATACTTTCAAAATAAAACTATTCAAAATTATTCATATTTCCTGGTTACATGAAAAAAGTTTGTCTTTACATAAAACAACAACTAGTGTTTGCTTGAAATCAGGAATCAAAGTGCATTAGTGGTTTAGGCTTACCCGAGAAAGTTCGGAATAGGCCAAGCCGAGAATTCCCTGCCACTCGGCATTGGCTATAAAGAAATTTTTGGAAGAGGTGATGCAGGCAATGTTGACTGTTGCTGAGATGTTAGGGGTCAAGGACAGTGACACTGTATCTGTGGCTAAATACCCAGTCCACTCTCCTTCAGTGTAAGGTACAAAAATTGATGTTCCAACATATACAAATGTACTGGATCTGATGATGGAAGTTTTAATTAAATAAATATTAAACAGTAAAAAACAATAGGTATATCAGTTATTAATTTACTTAGGAAACAGTTTGATAGCAGTTCTTTTCTTTCTTATTTTCTTCTTCCTCGTTCATAATTTTTTTAATGTTGGAAGGGATTCCCTCCAATAAAATTACATATCAACTTGTTATGTGTCATTTAGGCCATTGACTCTGATTTCATCCTGCCTTTCTTTTTGGATGTGCTTCCATAGCCTTTGCCCAACCAAAAACAATCTACAAGGTAGCAATTGTTTATCAGGGTTTGAACTCAAGACTTTTGGGTTTAGCAACAATATGCCTTACCAACTGACCCTGTAGCTCTTTTAAAAACTGCTATTATAGAAAAAATTTAAAGGATTAAAATTATATATAAAAACTATGGACCAATACATTAATTTTTTAGTAGTAAAAAATTACGAAATGTCAAACAAACAAGGTTTTATACACTTTAACAGGGTAGGTTGATTAAATGAAAGAGCACCTATTTGCTGATTTAAAATAACCAAGTCGAACCAGACATAACTGGTCCCAAATTTCAATCTCCCATGTAACAATGGCATGGTTAAATGGTAGAGCTTACGACTGTAAACCCAAAAATCTAGAGTTCGGATGTGATGGATACATGACTAACATTAAGAAAACAAACGCTGCATAACACCAACTACACCTTAATCGCTGACACCACCTTAATCTCTGACACCACCTTAATCATTCACACCACCTTAATCTCTGACACCACCTTAATCTCTGACACCACCTTAATCACTGACACCACCTTAATCACTGACACCACCTTAATCATTGACACCACCTTAATCACTGACACCACCTTAATCACTGACACCACCTTAATCACTGACACCACCTTAATCACTGACACCACCTTTATAAAATTACAAAAGGCCAACCTGTTTGTGTAAAAAAATTTGCTTATATTAGGCTCGTATCTTGTTGCAACAGCGAAGTTAGCACTGCCTGTGTCAACCAATACTTGAAGCTAGAACAAAGGGAGACAACAATGGTAACTCTTAAATAATAAAAATAAAACAAAAATAAAAGCTTTTATATCTGTTGGTAAAACAGGTTTTTTTAGTTTAAGTTTCTTTAGCAAAGATTGATTTGATTTAAATATAGTTTTATATCTTGTTTTAGTTAAAAAGTAACTGAACAAAAGCTAATTTCATTTGTTAAAATAGAGTAGGAAAATGTTTTTCTGCAAAGTATAACAATTTAACAGTTAAAAATTAAAATATTCTACAAACCAAAGCAACTTATTTTAAAATAACAGTTTTAAATTTTTTTATTTAAAGTAATTAAAATTTTTTTAAAATAAAAAAGTATTTAAACTCACAGTTTGTGGAGGAGTGCCGATATCTAAATCAATGAAATACCCTTCCACAGAAACCCCTTTCAAGTTATTTATCATACTACTAGAAGATATGTCCCTTTGGAAAAATCTGTGCAAGGTTTCATTTCTGTCTATATTGAACTCTCCTTTAAATGGTTTCAAAGGAAACTGGTATACCATCATTGCATGGGTGGGCAACAGCGAATGCAATGAAAGAATAACAATGAATACAATGCTGAAAGATAGTTTTTTAATCCTCATCTGGTCACCGAGATTTCTTGTATAGCAGTGGCTATAATCGATTACGGACAGCATCTGAAATCAATTTTATAACAAAAGATTAACTTCCATAGTTAAAAACAAATTAATGAAAAGTTAAAAAGATTTAATATTTTAAGAGACTTGGTTATTGATCTACATGCTATTTCCTTCTTTTAAGCAATCCTTAAAAATACTTGTTAAAATGAAACAAAAAAGTAACATCCTTTCATGTTTAAAATTTAAAAAAAATTAAATCCCCTTAACTAGTATTAACTATTAAAGGTAGCCTTGTTAAATTTAAGATTAGGGAGTTCATAAACAACTACAATGACTAACTCATTTTGCTTAATTAGACTGTACTTACTTTGTTTAAAAAAAGTTCTATAATCTTTGTTAAAAATCTAAGTCTATGTAAAGACTATTTTGGATGAAAGTTTGTTCTTAAAACTTGAGACTGCTCCCATTGCTTTTAGAGCTGCCTGAAATGTAACAGGATTATTTCTTACGAGCTTAAAATATACTTCACAAAGACACAAGGAAAGATGATTATTAAAATATTACAACTTTTAACACTGTTAGTTATGTTCTAAGGTAATGGATAGTATTCCCTGATTTCAAAAATAGGTGGCCCAAATAATTATCCAATTGTTGATTTTATAGGCTAAATATCAAATTAGTTGATATTGGGGATTATTGGCATTAGTGATGTCTGATTATGGAGCATGTTTTGGTGTTAGTAGGATTGTAATCTAAGGTTTAGTCTTACTGCAGTGTTATGGTCAGAAATTAAAGTTAGGGCATCTGTATGACTTTAGTTATGGTAAACCTTTACATTAGTTATCATTAGTAAGTGATAGCAAGTCATATTTGTAATTAGTTAACTACCAGCAGTAACCTAACACATCCCCTTTTTAATTTTAAGAAGATTCCATTACTGTCACTGTGGATTTAACGGATACTGGCACAATATAACACATAGTCACATACCATGAACTGGTAAAAACAATGTGCTAGACTCTAATAACTAGTTGTTCTACCTAATGTCATATCGCATAACCTAACACTTAGGCTATAACTGTACTAAAACAAGATTCTAAAAATACTTAAAATAGGCCTTAAATTAAACGGTTTACCCTATAAAGGCCAATACCAAACAAATTAATCTATGAAGGAATTCAAGAAAAGCCTAATTAAATTAGATCTAAATCTAATTACTTAGTAATTAACCATGAAATTAGGCTAAATATGAAATCAACTTGCTTAGGCCTAATGAATAATATTGAATATAAGCCTACTGTTTGATTTTAAAATTGATAATTTAATTGAATTCCCCAGGCCAGGACCCAGCTCAACAGCTGTTTTTTCTAGATCACAAAAAATTAGGCCCAAAAAAAAAAAAAAAAAAAACTAAATTGGTCCTAAAACTAAGTACTGTAAGTCGAGAAGTGACTCGTGAGTCTAATTCTAGATCTAATATTAAATTTTCTAAGTCTAAACTTCTAAACTTTTAGACTAAGGGGTCATCCATAATTGACGTCACACTCATAGGGGGGAGGGGGGGTCCGTAATTTTGTGACGATGTGTGATGAGGGGGAGGGGGGGGGGGGGGGTTCAGATGTTGCGACGTCACATTTTTGCATTATAAAAAAGCAATGTTAGAAAATGAATTTTAGACATTATTTCGCGTTTTAAATAACTGTTTTAAGAAACTGTAATAGTTTAGACAAGATTTTAGAAAAATATCGATGTTTTAAAAAAATTCAACTGCAATTTTGAGGGGGGTTGTATTAGTTTTTACTAATTTTTTTAGATTTTAGATTAGGCTAACAGATCTAGATTCTAGATCTAGTATCTAGATTCTAGATCTAATCCTTGTTGGGTACAGTGGATCAGTGAATCATTAGAGAATCTAGATCTAGAGTCTAGATCTACGTACACTCAGTCTTTCACTACTCTTTCGTCTTTCAAAATACTTTAACTTTCATTTTAGTTTTAGCATTGTTTTTCTAACTTCTGGATTAGCTCTTCTATACTTAGGTTTAAAAAAATACACTCTTACTGGAGTCAAAGGTTAAAAAAAACTCACGTCTCACATAGGCCTGGCCCTAGTCAGTCTATATATTGAATTATATTGACTATATCCTAATTAGTAATTAAATAAATAGATACTAAAATCTAGTAGTAACCTAAGTAACTCACAGTCAAGCATCGACAACTCCTAAAGTAAAATACAAATCTGCTACCACTCCTAGCTAAGCAGTGTGGGATTTGTCCACGTAAAAGTTTATTTAAGGAGTCTGTCAAATAATAGAGTTTACTTTATACTTAATACTTAGGCCTATGTCCATCAGCTTTTAATTTTTACTTAGATTTAGATCTAAAGACTTGTAGAAATCTAAATATAATTTAAAGTTGGCTTACCCATTCAGAAATAATTGTCCCTCTACTTCTTCAACCTCTTTGGAGGTGAAATTATGTTCAGTGCTATGCTCAGCCGTGTTGAAATAACCCGGCTCCTCTTTTAATAAACCAACTTTAAAATTAACCCAACGATATCAGTGGTGTATCATAGATTTCTAAAGGCTAAAACACATCATCGGTTACCAAATGAACCAAACAACTCAGATTAAAACACACCCAACCGAATAGAAATTAAATCTATTAATAGCCTAGGTCACCCACGTTTCTGTCGTGACGTGATCTAAACAGATTTAGGATCGATACAATGAATTGTTTAAAACTTTCACTTCACAAAGGCTTAACCTCCCCCCCCCCCCTTAAGGCTCTATGTCAGGGCTTCTCAAATTTTATAAAGTTATAGCCCTTTAACCCAAGCAAACATCACCATAACGGTACCGAGTACACCAGAGGCGTAGCGACCCTTCCCGGCGCCCGGGGACACACTTTCCGATTTGCACCCCCCCTCAAACTTTCGATTTGCACCCCCCTCAGCCTTTCAATTTATTTTTCCAACCCCCCTAAGGTCGGTGCCCGGGGACATATGCCCCCCTCCCCTCGCTACGCTACTGGAGTACACAGTAGTGTAACAATTAGAGTATATGGTGTACGGAACGCACAGGGTCACTATTTAATGGAGTGACACCAAATTAAAAAAAAATTGTAAAGTTTACTGACAAGATCCAGTTAAATTTAAAAAAAAATAAAAGGGAGAAGGGTGAGATCAAACAGAAAATACAAACATTGTTGGAGATAGGTTAAGGGATACTTTATTTCTTTTAACCGAACCGGGTGACAACCAACCTAGTGACGCCACGGCTAGCTCCCTATATGAATAGGCCTATATTTTACGACATTATATTTTTAGTAAGATATCAATGAAGGGGGGGGGGGGGGTAGTTTAAAATTGTGTTATCTTTTATAACAATGTTCGATTTAGACGGTGGTATAACCCCTATCAGTGTTATCTAACACTGCATTGATCTCTATATTATGATATATACTTAATGGATTCAAATTTCTACCGACTGGAAAAAATAAGCTACACAAGTAGCATAGACCTACACTATTTAAATTTAAAAAGTTATCCTTGCGAACATGGCGGTCTATGTGGTAGATGAAGTAGACTGTACCTGTTTCTGTGACCTCAGCATATGAAGGTATAGTGTGGTCATCACCATACCCCACAGCCTTTACTGTCTCCAAAGTGAATTTGTTAAATGTCAAAGTTAAATGTACGCTGGAACGCCCTACGAACTCAAGCCGGGAGACGAACTCGAATATTTCGATTTAGCAGTCGTACGCTATACCACCTCACCACGCGGTCCCATATTGATTACTTTAACAACACAGTATAATACCTCAAAGTTTAATGTGCAATAACGAATCGTGATGTAGTCTACATATGCATACATACATACATACACACGCACACGCACACACACAAACACACACACACACACACATATATATATATATATATATATATAGATATAGATATAGATATATATATATATATATATATATATATATATATATATATATATATATATATATATATGTGTGTGAACGTGGGCCGGGGGCGCATCAACATTCCTTTTATGCGTAATATGAGGTCATTGGTCTATAGATATGTTATGTAGCGTAATACGAATTACGTATGGGGCGAATCGTACGCTGCCTACCATATACAATTAGAAAATTCTGCACCCTTTCAGTGTTGTTATCCGCACCCTTTCAGTGTTGTTGTTTTTTATTAATTCAGACAACACCTCACATTTTGAGAATTATTTCCCCTTACCCATATTTTCTTCCCTCGGCTTTATTTACTTGCACAGACACAACAGGATTTAAATTTTAACCCTTGACGGTATAAAAAAAAATCCCTTTGTCCCCTGATTGACATTAAGGGCAATGAACCTGTCAAACTGTAAGAAGACAGTCAGGCTGAGCTCAATGCATCTGATTTAACGAGGCAACTAAGTTCTAGAAAGTTCTTTCTCCTCTCCCTACCCCTATGCCCCCCCCCCCCTTCCCTTGTATAAGATCTCATTTAATACAATAATGTCGCAAAATAACTACATAGTAAGCTTACCTTGGTTTGAAGCACATAAAATGGACACATGACGTCCCCCTCCCCCCACCCCCACCCCACACACGAAATGACTTAAATTGATTCGATATGTCATTTCTAGCCCCCTGGTTAGAAGTTAGTTTTAAAAAAATAGAGTCCTTCCTACCCGACCAGTCAGGTTAATCTCAACCGTCGTGAGTCGCTTCTGACCACACATTATCATATAGTTTAACAATACCTACGCGTGAAATAGTAATGTATTCGGTTCGCGGGGTCCTTGAGCAGAAGCCAAATCAGCCCTTGAAAAAGTCCTGCACAAGACCTATCATCACCGAAACTTTTTACTTCAGGAAGTGTTGTTGATAACGTCACCCAACACACTAGTAACACACTGTGTTAAAAGACTAAAGTAACACACGTCTTCAAAGAACGAAGTAACACACTGTGTTGAAAGAATGTAGAAACTCACTGTGTTCAAAGGCTAAAGTAACACACGTCTTCAAAGACAGAAGTAACACACGGTGCTCAAAGACTGAAGTAATACACGTCTTCAAAGACAGAAGTAACACACGCTGCTCAAAGACTGAAGTAATACACGTCTTCAAAGACTGAAGTAACACACGGTGTTCAAAGACTGAAGTAACACACTGTGTTGAAATGATGAAGTAACTCACGATGTTCAAAGATTGAATTGTAATTCAATATGTGCCAAGGATTAAACATCATAAAATAAACATATGCGCCATATGGCCTAACGTATTGATTCCCCACAATGTATGAAAAAAATCGTTACAAAAATTGAAACGCATAGGCAAACTTCCTTTTACCATTCAGTTGGGCTCTGGTTATCAATATCTTAATACAAGTTGATACAACTAATGGAAAATCTAGCAGTTAACCGGCTTAAGAGTATTTTTTGAAGGCTGTACATTTACTGCCGGTAAAATATGAAGGTGTTGGATTTTGTCTAAGAATACAATTGGGTTAATTGCAGAAAATAAAAGTACGTAGATACGCATACGCACAGCCAATACAAGTTTATAAGTACACATACACAAAGCTTATACAAGTTTATGAGTTGCAATAATGACCATCTATATAATAATACTAATACACACGCAAAACGCCGTACATACTAAAATAGCAAGTATACCTTAAAAACTGGCAAATTAATATTGACTGCACTGTTACTTATTTGATTCTTTTAAAGGACTGTTTCGATTTCTATTGTTGAACAATAGAAATTGTTTTCTATTAATTTTCTCTTGTGTTTATGTGTGTGCTCATTGACAATCATTTACAATTGTGCACAAAATGAGAAGGTAAATCTACAATAATAAACACACATTTCAGAGTAAGCAATTGTTAGCAGTAACAAGGACATTCTTTTGACCAAAGGAAAAGATTTATTAACGAAAAAAAAATGTTTTTAGAACAATGAAGTGTTCTGGTACACAGGTAGAGAAATGACACATATACCACGCAGACACATACATACATACACATACATTCCTGAATTCAATCGTGTATTTTAACACGGGACACATTCATATCTTCAGGATATCACGACAAACGTATGTGAACGCTCTGCTTTTTTTATATTTAAGATAATCTTCCTATTCATTATTCAATTAATAATAGTAAATTTATGCAAGAACTGTCACATCACTCAAGCTTAATTAGCTGGTTATTACATCAAGAGCGCACCCCCCCCCCCCCTCTGCTCTCCCCATGGCGACGCCCCTGTCAAGATGTCCTAGATATACACCACTGACACTGACCCTTACGTAATTAAAATTGTATTTCAGCAAGGATATTTCAAATTGTATTTTAATTAAGCTAAGCTGAAAGTGTAAATTTAAATCTACAGCATCGCCATCGCTTAGAGAAAAAATATTTTCCATCTTAAAAAAAAACCCCAACCTAACAGGCTTAAATTTTCCACACGGAGTCTTATAAAACCAATGTAGGTCTAGACTCAAGCCAACGACTTTCACAATACAAAAGATAGGAGAACAAACGAGTTTGCTGAGGGAATTTGTACCTTTATCAATATGGACTCGGTCAAGGTAACCCTGACCCAGGCCTTCTCCACGTGACCTCTCCACGGACACACAACAAAAAACGAACACTGTTATTACATTTCTAGACAAGTTCATAACGGTTAACACTTCGTGTGTCAACGTAACCAAGGGACACAACCTTTGAGAAATGGGAGGCAAACATTGTTTCCAAAATTTGTTTGCAAACGAGGATTGTATTCTTCTTAAAGTAAAATAATCCACAAAATGATAATAAATCGATGTAAATGGTTACTTAAAGTTAGCCGTTTTATATTAATTTTATTAAAATTTGTATTTTTATCCATCTTATCTTTTACAAAAAAATTGAGTGCAACTAGATTTACTTCCCATGTTGACAGTTTGCAGAGACCTTAATCATAGAAGGGCTTACACCAGACATCCCTTTCTAACAATACAGCTAATTTCGCCTGAAGCGTTCGCGTGTCCAATTAACCAGTCTAATTAACTAGCCAACACCAATTTATTGACTTCATAGACAAAATATTTTAATATCACCGACAGGGGAGACAATTTAATGAACCGAATACATCATTCTGTCCCCTTTCTAGTCTCCGCTATTGGATATTTGGGTATAAATGTTATATAAATAATGCAACGAATTATAGAAATTAGCAATAGTTTAGCCCTCTACTTCCAGAGGACTACTTTACTACGATAAAAATGAATATAGCGTTCTCGGTCGTATTACTTATCTTAGGTAATTTTTTTTTTTTTGCTATCGAGGTAAGATAGTAAACAGCACAAACTTATTTAAATTTTAATGTTAAAAATGTACATACATTCACAAATAAATTTTAAAAAATTAGGATAAAAAGCATTATACCTATAACTATACCCTTTTTCAAAGGCTGATTTGGCCTCTACTCAAGGTATAATGCTGTATATACCTATATATATATAATATATATATATATATATATATATATATATATATATATATATATATATATATAATGTAATAATGTAATGAGTAAAGATCTTTTGTCTGCAGTTCTAGCAACTCTGGATGTCTCTCAAAGCCTGGTAAGTAATGAGCCATAGTGATCTATAACTATATTGGTTTATAGTGAGAACCGACTAGTAGTAACACGCGGTGCAGGACATTTGGTATCTTTAACTCCATCAATTTGCTCAAATGCCAGGATCCCCAGGATGACGTAAGCAGAGACACACGGGCGTGGAGACCACCAGAGCTGACCATCCTGTCCAAGTACTGGAAATCTTATGCCAGACTGAGGGCTCAAGCTCTGGACAGGTGTGAGAGGCGGTTGTTTTTGTACGGGAGTAGGAGGAAGATGGCGCAGGACGCTTCGGTCAATGTAAGTGGTTGGTGGTAGTGTCAGAGGTGGTGATGTTGTTAGTGTGTTGGCAGTGTGGTAGGTGGTGATGTTGTTAGTATATTGGCAGTGTGGTAGGTGGTGATGTTAGTGTGGTAGGTGGTGATGTTAGTATGTTGGCAGTGTGGTAGGTGGTGATGTTATGGAGAAAGTTGATGATGTTGTTAGTGTGGTAGTTGAGGATGTTGTTAGTGCGTTAGGTGGTGATGTTGTTAGTATATTGGCAGTGTGGTATTTGGTGATGTTAGAATGTTAGGTGGTAGGTGGTGATGGCAGTATGATGGGTGGTGATGTTGTTAGTGTGGTAGGTGGTGATGTTGTTAGTGTGGTAGGTGGTGATGTTGTTAGTGTGGTAGGTGGTGATGTTGTTAGTGTGGTAGGTGGTGATGTTAATGTGGTAGGTTGTGATGTTAGTGTGGTAGGTTGTGATGTTAGTGTGGTAGGTGGTGATGTTAGTGTGGTAGGTGGTGATGTTAGTGTGGCAGGTTGTGATGTTAGTGTGGTAGGTGGTGATGTTAGTGTGGTAGGTGGTGATGTTAGTATGGTAGGTGGTGATGTTAGTGTGGTAGGTGGTGATGTTAGTATGGTAGGTGGTGATGTTAGTGTGGTAGGTTGTGATGTTAGTGTGGTAGGTGGTGATGTTAGTATGGTAGGTGGTGATGTTAGTGTGGTAGGTGGTGATGTTAGTATGGTAGGTGGTGATGTTAGTGTGGTAGGTTGTGATGTTGTTAGTGTGGTAGGTGGTGATATTAGTGTGAGAGGTGGTAATGTTAGTGTTGTAGGTGGTGATGTTACTGTGGTAGGTTGTGATGCTAGTGTGGTAGGTGGTGATGTTAGTGTGGTAGGTGGTGATGGTATTGTTATAGGTGGTGATGTTAGTGTGGTAGGTTGTGATGTTAGTGCGGTAGGTGGTGATGTTGTTAGTGTGGTAGGTGGTGATGTTAATGTGGTAGGTTGTGATGTTAGTGTGGTAGGTTGTGATGTTAGTGTGGTAGGTGGTGATGTTAGTATGGTAGGTGGTGATGTTAGTGTGAGAGGTGGTGATGTTAGTGTGATAGGTGGTGATGTTAGTGTGATAGGTGGTGATGTTAGTGTGGTAGGTGGTGATATTAGTGTGGTAGGTGGTGATGTTAGTGTGGTAGGTGGTGATGTTAGTGTGATAGGTGGTGATGTTAGTGTGGTAGGTGGTGATGTTAGTATGGTAGGTGGTGATGTTAGTGTGGTAGGTTGTGATGTTGTTAGTGTGGTAGGTGGTGATATTAGTGTGAGAGGTGGTAATGTTAGTGTTGTAGGTGGTGATGTTACTGTGGTAGGTTGTGATGCTAGTGTGGTAGGTGGTGATGTTAGTGTGGTAGGTGGTGATGTTAGTGTGGTAGGTTGTGATGTTGTTAGTGTGGTAGGTGGTGATATTAGTGTGAGAGGTGGTAATGTTAGTGTTGTAGGTGGTGATGTTACTGTGGTAGGTTGTGATGTTAGTGTGGTAGGTGATGTTGTTAAGTGGTAGGTGGTGATATTAGTGTGAGAGGTGGTGATGTTAGTGTGATAGGTGGTGATTTTAGTGTGATAGGTGGTGATGTTAGTGTGGTAGGGTGTGATGTTGTTAGTGTGGTAGGTGGTGATATTAGTGTGGTAGGTGGTGATGTTAGTGTGATAGGTGGTGATGTTAGTGTGGTAGGTGGTGATGTTAGTATGGTAGGTGGTGATGTTAGTGTGGTAGGTTGTGATGTTGTTAGTGTGGTAGGTGGTGATATTAGTGTGAGAGGTGGTAATGTTAGTGTTGTAGGTGGTGATGTTACTGTGGTAGGTTGTGATGCTAGTGTGGTAGGTGGTGATGTTAGTGTGGTAGGTGGTGATGTTAGTGTGGTAGGTTGTGATGTTGTTAGTGTGGTAGGTGGTGATATTAGTGTGAGAGGTGGTAATGTTAGTGTTGTAGGTGGTGATGTTACTGTGGTAGGTTGTGATGTTAGTATGGTAGGTGATGTTGTTAAGTGGTAGGTGGTGATATTAGTGTGAGAGGTGGTGATGTTAGTGTGATAGGTGGTGATTTTAGTGTGATAGGTGGTGATGTTAGTGTGGTAGGTGGTGATATTAGTGTGGTAGGTGGTGATGTTAGTGTGGTAGGTGGTGATGTTAGTGTGGTAGGTGGTGATGTTAGTGTGATAGGTGGTGATGTTAGTGTGGTAGGTGGTGATGTTAGTGTGATAGGTGGTGATGTTAGTGTGGTAGGTGGTGATGTTAGTGTGGTAGGTGGTGATGTTAGTGTGGTAGGTTGTGATGCTAGTGTGGTAGGTGGTGATGTTAGTGTGGTAGGTGGTGATGGTATTGTTATAGGTGGTGATGTTAGTGTGGTAGGTTGTGATGTTAGTGTGGTAGGTGGTGATGTTGTTAGTGTGGTAGGTGGTGATGTTAATGTGGTAGGTTGTGATGTTAGTGTGGTAGGTTGTGATGTTAGTGTGGTAGGTGGTGATGTTAGTGTGGTAGGTGGTGATGTTAGTGTGAGAGGTGGTGATGTTAGTGTGATAGGTGGTGATGTTAGTGTGATAGGTGGTGATGTTAGTGTGGTAGGTGGTGATATTAGTGTGGTAGGTGGTGATGTTAGTGTGGTAGGTGGTGATGTTAGTGTGATAGGTGGTGATGTTAGTGTGGTAGGTGGTGATGTTAGTATGGTAGGTGGTGATGTTAGTGTGGTAGGTTGTGATGTTGTTAGTGTGGTAGGTGGTGATATTAGTGTGAGAGGTGGTAATGTTAGTGTTGTAGGTGGTGATGTTACTGTGGTAGGTTGTGATGCTAGTGTGGTAGGTGGTGATGTTAGTGTGGTAGGTGGTGATGTTAGTGTGGTAGGTTGTGATGTTGTTAGTGTGGTAGGTGGTGATATTAGTGTGAGAGGTGGTAATGTTAGTGTTGTAGGTGGTGATGTTACTGTGGTAGGTTGTGATGTTAGTGTGGTAGGTGATGTTGTTAAGTGGTAGGTGGTGATATTAGTGTGAGAGGTGGTGATGTTAGTGTGATAGGTGGTGATTTTAGTGTGATAGGTGGTGATGTTAGTGTGGTAGGTTGTGATGTTGTTAGTGTGGTAGGTGGTGATATTAGTGTGGTAGGTGGTGATGTTAGTGTGATAGGTGGTGATGTTAGTGTGGTAGGTGGTGATGTTAGTATGGTAGGTGGTGATGTTAGTGTGGTAGGTTGTGATGTTGTTAGTGTGGTAGGTGGTGATATTAGTGTGAGAGGTGGTAATGTTAGTGTTGTAGGTGGTGATGTTACTGTGGTAGGTTGTGATGCTAGTGTGGTAGGTGGTGATGTTAGTGTGGTAGGTGGTGATGTTAGTGTGGTAGGTTGTGATGTTGTTAGTGTGGTAGGTGGTGATATTAGTGTGAGAGGTGGTAATGTTAGTGTTGTAGGTGGTGATGTTACTGTGGTAGGTTGTGATGTTAGTATGGTAGGTGATGTTGTTAAGTGGTAGGTGGTGATATTAGTGTGAGAGGTGGTGATGTTAGTGTGATAGGTGGTGATTTTAGTGTGATAGGTGGTGATGTTAGTGTGGTAGGTGGTGATATTAGTGTGGTAGGTGGTGATGTTAGTGTGGTAGGTGGTGATGTTAGTGTGGTAGGTGGTGATGTTAGTGTGATAGGTGGTGATGTTAGTGTGGTAGGTGGTGATGTTAGTGTGATAGGTGGTGATGTTAGTGTGGTAGGTGGTGATGTTAGTGTGGTAGGTGGTGATGTTAGTGTGATAGGTGGTGATGTTAGTGTGGTAGGTGGTGATGATAGTGTTAGGTGGTGATATTAGTGTTGTAGGTGGTGATGTTACTGTGGTAGGTTGTGATGCTAGTGAGGTAGGTGGTGATATTAGTGTTGTAGGTGGTGATGTTACTGTGGTAGGTTGTGATGCTAGTGAGGTAGGTGGTGATATTAGTGTTGTAGGTTGTGATGTTAGTGTGGTAGGTGGTGATGTTAGTGTGGTAGGTGGTGATGTTAGTATGGAAGGTGGTAATGTTACTGTGGTAGGTGGTGACGTTGTTAGTTTGGTAGGTGGTGATATTAGTGTGGTAGATGGTAATGTTAGTGTTGTATGTGTTGATGTTAGTGTGACATTTGGTAATGGCAGTGTGAGTTGTAGTGATATCTGTGTGGCTGTCAAGTAATGATATCATGATGTCATCACTGCAAACGACCAGAGTGGCAGTATGTAACTGTTATTGTCAACGTGATAAATCCGTGTGTCACTGGGACATGGTGAGGTATGTGACAATAACGTATGTGATAGCAATAACTGTGACAAACAGGTATGTGACCGTAAGGTGCGGAATAGCCAGGCATGTAAAAAAATGTTCGTGACAATAAATTATTTGACATTTATGTATACGACATTAAAATATAGGAAAAAATTGTATGTGGATATATGGTAACTTAAGATATACTTTGAATAAAGCTGTCAATAGTTTTGAAAAATAACCTTATTAAACCCATACATCACGCCTTATTTAACCCATACATCACGACTTATTTAACCCATACATCACGCCTTACTTAACCCATACATCACGACTTATTTAACCCATACGTCACACCTTATTTAACCCATACATCACACCTTATTTAACCCATACATCACACCTTATTTAACCCATACATCACACCTTATTTAACCCATACATCACACCTTATTTAACCCATACATCACGCCTTACTTAACCCATACATCACGACTTATTTAACCCATACATCACACCTTATTTAACCCATATATGACGACTTATTTAACCCATACATCACACCTAATTTAACCCATACACCACGACTTATTTAACCCATATATGACGACTTATTTATCCCATACATCACACCTTATTTAACCCATACATCACGCCTTATTTAACCCATACATCACGCCTTATTTAACCCATACATCACACCTTATTTAACCCATACATCACACCTTATTTAACCCATACATCACACCTTATTTAACCCATACATCACGACTTATTTAACCCATACATCACACCTTATTTAACCCATACATCACGCCTTATTTAACCCATACATCACACCTTATTTAACCCATACATCACACCTTATTTAACCCATATATCACACCTTATTTAACCCATACATCACGACTTATTTAACCCATACATCACACCTTATTTAACCCATACATCACGCCTTATTTAACCCATACATCACGAATTATTTAACCCATACATCACACCTTATTTAACCCATACATCACGACTTATTTAACCCATACATCACGCCTTATTTAACCCATACATCACGACTTATTTAACCCATACATCACGCCTTATTTAACCCATACATCACGCCTTATTTAACCCATGCATCACGACATATTTAACCCATACATCACACCTCATTTAACCCATAAATCACACCTTATTTAACCCATACATCACACCTTATTTAACCCATACATCACGCCTTATTTAACCCATGCATCACGACATATTTAACCCATACATCACACCTCATTTAACCCATAAATCACACCTTATTTAACCCATACATCACACCTTATTTAACCCATACATCACGCCTTATTTAACCCATGCATCACGACATATTTAACCCATACATCACACCTTATTTAACCCATACATCACGCCTTATTTAACCCATACATCACGACTTATTTAACCCATATATCACGCCTTTTTTAACCCATACATCACGACTTATTTAACCCATACATCACGCCTTATTTAACCCATACATCACGACTTATTTAACCCATACATCACGCCTTACTTAACCCATACATCACGCCTTATTTAACCCATGCATCACGACATATTTAACCCATACATCACACCTTATTTAACGCATACATCACACCTTATTTAACCCATACATCATACCTTATTTAACCCATACATCACGCCTTATTTAACCCATACATCACACCTTATTTAACCCATACATCACACCTTATTTAACCCATACATCACACCTTATTTAACCCATACATCACACCTTATTTAACCCATACATTACGACTTATTTAACCCATACATCACGACTTATTTAACCCATACATCACACCTTATTTAACCCATACATCACGACTTATTTAACCCATACATCACACCTTATTTAACCCATATATCACGCCTTTTTTAACCCATACATCACACCTTATTTAACCCATACATCACGCCTTATTTAACCCATACATCACACCTTATTTAACCCATACATCACACCTTGTTTAACCCATACATCACACCTTATTTAACCCATACATCACACCTTATTTAACCCATACATCACGCCTTATTTAACCCATACATCACGACTTATTTAACCCATACATCACACCTCATTTAACCCATAAATCACACCTTATTTAACCCATACATCACGCCTTATTTAACTGATACATCACGACTTATTTAACCCATACATCACGACTTATTTAACCCATACATCACGACTTATTTAACCCATACATCACGACTTATTTAACCCATATATCACGCCTTATTTAACCCATACATCACGACTTATTTAACCCATACATCACGACTTATTTAACCCATACATCACACCTTATTTAACCCATATATCACGCCTTTTTTAACCCATACATCACACCTTATTTAACCCATACATCACACCTTATTTAACCCATACATCACGACTTATTTAACCCATACATCACGCCTTATTTAACCCATACATCACACCTTATTTAACCCATACATCACACCTTATTTAACCCATACATCACACCTTATTTAACCCATACATCACGACTTATTTAACCCATATATCACACCTTATTTAACCCATACATCACGACTTATTTAACCCATACATCACACCTTATTTAACCCATACATCACGCCTTATTTAACCCATACATCACGAATTATTTAACCCATACATCACACCTTATTTAACCCATACATCACGCCTTATTTAACCCATACATCACTACTTATTTAACCCATACATCACACCTTATTTAACCAATACATCACTACTTATTTAACCCATACATCACACCTTATTTAACCAATACATCATACCTTATTTAACCAATACATCACGACTTATTTAACCCATACATCACGACTTATTTAACCCATACATCACACGTGTGTAGGTAGCGAGAAGAAACACGGCCATTGAACAGGCTGATATCAAAAGTGGCCAGGAAGAAGTATCGGCATCGGAGGCCTCACTAACAGCTTGCGTGCTCCAGATTGTTGAGTTACAATCTAACGATCCCTTCTATAAGGACTGTAAGTCTCTAGGTTTCTAGTAGAACGTATGTAGAACATTATTTTTAACTCCAAAAATAGTATCAATCAACTAAGTTAACAGGGGACGGGTAGTTGAACGGTAGGGCGTTTGACTTCTTGCTTGAAGGTCTCGAGTTGCTTGAATGTCTTGAGTTCATGTCGGTTTGGACTTTTGACTCAAGGAGGTCCTTAAGTCCACCCAGCTCTGATGGGTACCTGACTTACGTTGGAAAAAGTAAAGGAAGCTGGGCATAGAACTGATCACAACATCCCTTCATATGCCGAGGTCAATAAACATGCCCTACTTCATAAGTTAATTATGGCCTACCTACTTTCGTCTTTCCTTGGGGATTTTACGTACATTAAGGGGTCGATAATCAAAGATATAACATAAGCTTATTTTATCCCCCCCCCCACCCCCCATCAATACTCAGAATGTCAACCCCCTCCCCCATCACTCCTAACCGTCCGACCCCCCCCCCCCTTACCAATAAGAAGTATGACGTCAGGTATGAACGCTTCAATGACCAACACATGTTGACTGTTGACTGTTACAGATCAGCTGTTGATCTCAGAGGTCTCACGCTTGAGTGACCAGGTGACGTCATGTATAGAAGCTGGCGGGAGCGTGGCACTCACCGTGAAACGTGACAGTGTTCGGCAGGTGGATGAACAGGTAGGGACAAATTAGACAGGTGGATGAACAGGTAGGGACAAATTAGACAGGTAGGGACAAATTAGACAGGTGGATAAATGGTAGGGACAAATTAGACAGGTGGATGAACAGGTAGGGACAAATTAGACAGGTAGGGACAAATTAGACAGGTGGATAAATGGTAGGGACAAATTAGACAGGTGGATGAACAGGTAGGGACAAATTAGGTGGATGAACAGGTAGGGACAAATTAGACAGGTAGGGACAAATTAGACAGGTAGGGACAAATTAGACAGGTAGGGACAAATTAGACAGGTGGATGGACAGGTAGGGACAAATTAGACAGGTGGATGTACAGGTAGGGACAAATTAGACAGGTGGATAAATGGTAGGGACAAATTAGACAGGTTGATGAACATGTAGGGACAAATTAGGTGGATGAACAGGTAGGGACAAATTAGACAGGTGAATGAGCAGGTAGGATAAATTAGGTGGATGAACAGGTAGGGACAAATTAGACAGGTGGATGAACAGGTAGGGACAAATTAGGTGGATGAACAGGTAGGGACAAATTAGACAGGTAGGGACAAATTAGACAGGTGGATGGACAGGTAGGGACAAATTAGACAGGTGGATGTACAGGTAGGGACAAATTAGACAGGTGGATAAATGGTAGGGACAAATTAGACAGGTTGATGAACATGTAGGGACAAATTAGGTGGATGAACAGGTAGGGACAAATTAGGTGGATGAACAGGTAGGGACAAATTAGACAGGTGAATGAGCAGGTAGGGATAAATTAGGTGGATGAACAGGTAGGGACAAATTAGACAGGTGGATGTACAGGTAGGGACAAATTAGACAGGTGGATAAATGGTAGGGACAAATTAGACAGGTTGATGAACATGTAGGGACAAATTAGGTGGATGAACAGGTAGGGACAAATTAGACAGGTGGATGTACAGGTAGGGACAAATTAGACAGGTGGATAAATGGTAGGGACAAATTAGACAGGTTGATGAACATGTAGGGACAAATTAGGTGGATGAACAGGTAGGGACAAATTAGGTGGATGAACAGGTAGGGACAAATTAGACAGGTGGATGAACAGGTAGGGACAAATTAGACAGGTTGATGAACAGGTAGGGACAAATTAGACAGGTTGATGAACAGGTAGGGACAAATTAGGCGGGTGGATGAACAGGTAGGGACAAATTAGACAGGTGGATGAACAGGTAGGGACAAATTAGGTGGATGTACAGGTAGGAACAAATTAGGTGGATGAACAGGTAGGGGCAAATTAGGTGGATGGAGAGTTAGGGACAAATTAGGAAGGTGAATGGACAGGTAGGGACAAATTAGACAGGTGGATGAACAGGTAGGGACAAATTAGACAGGTGGATGAACAGGTAGGGACAAATTAGGTGGATGTACAGGTAGGGACAAATTAGGTGGATGAACAGGTAGGGGCAAATTAGGTGGATGAACAGGTAGGGACAAATTAGGTGGATGAACAGGTTGGGACAAATTAGGTGGATGTACAGGTAGGGGCAAATTAGACAGGTGGATGAACAGGTAGGGACAAATTAGGTGGATGAACAGGTAGGGGCAAATTAGACAGGTGGATGAACAGGTAGGGACAAATTAGGTGGATGTACAGGTAGGGGCAAATTAGACAGGTGGATGAACAGGTAGGGACAAATTAGGTGGATGAACAGGTAGGGGCAAATTAGGTGGATGTACAGGTAGGAACAAATTAGGTGGATGAACAGGTAGGGGCAAATTAGGTGGATGGAGAGTTAGGGACAAATTAGGAAGGTGAATGGACAGGTAGGGACAAATTAGACAGGTGGATGAACAGGTAGGGACAAATTAGACAGGTGGATGAACAGGTAGGGACAAATTAGGTGGATGTACAGGTAGGGACAAATTAGGTGGATGAACAGGTAGGGGCAAATTAGGTGGATGAACAGGTAGGGACAAATTAGGTGGATGAACAGGTTGGGACAAATTAGGTGGATGTACAGGTAGGGGCAAATTAGACAGGTGGATGAACAGGTAGGGACAAATTAGGTGGATGAACAGGTAGGGGCAAATTAGACAGGTGGATGAACAGGTAGGGACAAATTAGGTGGATGTACAGGTAGGGGCAAATTAGACAGGTGGATGAACAGGTAGGGACAAATTAGGTGGATGAACAGGTAGGGGCAAATTAGACAGGTGGATGAACAGGTAGGGACAAATTAGGTGGATGTACAGGTAGGGACAAATTAGGTGGATGAACAGGTAGGGGCAAATTAGGTGGATGTACAGGTAGAGACAAATTAGACAGGTGGATGAACAGGTAGGGACAAATTAGACAGGTGGATGAACAGGTAGGGACAAGTTAGACAGGTAGGGACAAATTAGACAGGTGGATGAACAGGTAGGGACAAATTAGGTGGATGAACAGGTAGGGACAAATTAGGTGGATGAACAGGTAGAGACAAATTAGGTGGATGAACAGGTAGGGACAAATTAGACAGGTGGATGAACAGGTAGGGACAAATTAGGTGGATGAACAGGTAGGGGCAAATAAGACAGGTGGATGAACAGGTAGGGACAAATTAGGTGGATGTACAGGTAGAGACAAATTAGGTGGATGAACAGGTAGGGACAAATTAGGTGGATGTACAGGTAGGGACAAATTAGGTGGATGTACAGGTAGGGACAAATTAGGTGGATGAACAGGTAGGGACAAATTAGACAGGTGGATGAACAGGTAGGGACAAATTAGACAGGTGGATGAACAGGAAGGGACATATTAGGTGGATGAACAGGTAGAGACAAATTAGACAGGTGGATGAACAGGTAGGGACAAATTAGAAAGGTTGATGAACAGGTAGGGACAAATTAGACAGGTGGATGAACAGGTAGGGACAAGTTAGACAGGTAGGGACAAATTAGACAGGTGGATGAACAGGTTGGGACAAATTAGACAGGTATGGACAAATTAGACAGGTGGATAAATGGTAGGGACAAATTAGACAGGTGGATGAACAGGTAGGGACAAATTAGACAGGTGGATGAACAGGTAGGGACAAATTAGACAGGTGGATGAACAGGTAGGGACAAATTATGTGGATGAACAGGTAGGGACAAATTAGACAGGTGGATGAACAGGTAGGGACAAATTAGACAGGTTGATGAACAGGTAGGGACAAATTAGGCGGGTGGATGAACAGGTAGGGACAAATTAGACAGGTGGATGAACAGGTAGGGACAAGTTAGACAGGTAGGGACAAATTAGACAGGTGGATGAACAGGTAGGGACAAATTAGGTGGATGTACAGGTAGGAACAAATTAGGTGGATGAACAGGTAGGGGCAAATTAGGTGGATGGAGAGTTAGGGACAAATTAGGAAGGTGAATGGACAGGTAGGGACAAATTAGACAGGTGGATGAACAGGTAGGGACAAATTAGACAGGTGGATGAACAGGTAGGGACAAATTAGGTGGATGTACAGGTAGGGACAAATTAGGTGGATGAACAGGTAGGGGCAAATTAGGTGGATGAACAGGTTGGGACAAATTAGGTGGATGAACAGGTAGGGACAAATTAGGTGGATGTACAGGTAGGGGCAAATTAGACAGGTGGATGAACAGGTAGGGACAAATTAGGTGGATGAACAGGTAGGGGCAAATTAGACAGGTGGATGAACAGGTAGGGACAAATTAGGTGGATGTAAAGGTAGGGACAAATTAGGTGGATGAACAGGTAGGGGCAAATTAGGTGGATGTACAGGTAGAGACAAATTAGACAGGTGGATGAACAGGTAGGGACAAATTAAACAGGTGGATGAACAGGTAGGGACAAGTTAGACAGGTAGGGACAAATTAGACAGGTGGATGAACAGGTAGGGACAAATTAGGTGGATGAACAGGTAGGGACAAATTAGGTGGATGAACAGGTAGAGACAAATTAGGTGGATGAACAGGTAGGGACAAATTAGGCAGGTGGATGAACAGGTAGGGACAAATTAGGTGGATGAACAGGTAGGGGCAAATAAGACAGGTGGATGAACAGGTAGGGACAAATTAGGTGGATGTACAGGTAGAGACAAATTAGACAGGTGGATGAACAGGTAGGGACAAATTAGGTGGATGAACAGGTAGGGGCAAATTAGACAGGTGGATGAACAGGTAGGGACAAATTAGGTGGATGTACAGGTAGAGACAAATTAGGTGGATGAACAGGTAGGGACAAATTAGGTGGATGTACAGGTAGGGACAAATTAGGTGGATGTACAGGTCGGGACAAATTAGGTGGATGAACAGGTAGGGACAAATTAGACAGGTAGGGACAAATTAGACAGGTGGATGGACAGGTAGGGACAAATTAGACAGGTGGATGTACAGGTAGGGACAAATTAGACAGGTGGATAAATGGTAGGGACAAATTAGACAGGTTGATGAACATGTAGGGACAAATTAGGTGGATGAACAGGTAGGGACAAATTAGACAGGTGAATGAGCAGGTAGGATAAATTAGGTGGATGAACAGGTAGGGACAAATTAGACAGGTGGATGAACAGGTAGGGACAAATTAGGTGGATGAACAGGTAGGGACAAATTAGACAGGTAGGGACAAATTAGACAGGTGGATGGACAGGTAGGGACAAATTAGACAGGTGGATGTACAGGTAGGGACAAATTAGACAGGTGGATAAATGGTAGGGACAAATTAGACAGGTTGATGAACATGTAGGGACAAATTAGGTGGATGAACAGGTAGGGACAAATTAGGTGGATGAACAGGTAGGGACAAATTAGACAGGTGAATGAGCAGGTAGGGATAAATTAGGTGGATGAACAGGTAGGGACAAATTAGACAGGTGGATGTACAGGTAGGGACAAATTAGACAGGTGGATAAATGGTAGGGACAAATTAGACAGGTTGATGAACATGTAGGGACAAATTAGGTGGATGAACAGGTAGGGACAAATTAGACAGGTGGATGTACAGGTAGGGACAAATTAGACAGGTGGATAAATGGTAGGGACAAATTAGACAGGTTGATGAACATGTAGGGACAAATTAGGTGGATGAACAGGTAGGGACAAATTAGGTGGATGAACAGGTAGGGACAAATTAGACAGGTGGATGAACAGGTAGGGACAAATTAGACAGGTTGATGAACAGGTAGGGACAAATTAGACAGGTTGATGAACAGGTAGGGACAAATTAGGCGGGTGGATGAACAGGTAGGGACAAATTAGACAGGTGGATGAACAGGTAGGGACAAATTAGGTGGATGTACAGGTAGGAACAAATTAGGTGGATGAACAGGTAGGGACAAATTAGGTGGATGGAGAGTTAGGGACAAATTAGGAAGGTGAATGGACAGGTAGGGACAAATTAGACAGGTGGATGAACAGGTAGGGACAAATTAGACAGGTGGATGAACAGGTAGGGACAAATTAGGTGGATGTACAGGTAGGGACAAATTAGGTGGATGAACAGGTAGGGGCAAATTAGGTGGATGAACAGGTAGGGACAAATTAGGTGGATGAACAGGTTGGGACAAATTAGGTGGATGTACAGGTAGGGGCAAATTAGACAGGTGGATGAACAGGTAGGGACAAATTAGGTGGATGAACAGGTAGGGGCAAATTAGACAGGTGGATGAACAGGTAGGGACAAATTAGGTGGATGTACAGGTAGGGGCAAATTAGACAGGTGGATGAACAGGTAGGGACAAATTAGGTGGATGAACAGGTAGGGGCAAATTAGGTGGATGTACAGGTAGGAACAAATTAGGTGGATGAACAGGTAGGGGCAAATTAGGTGGATGGAGAGTTAGGGACAAATTAGGAAGGTGAATGGACAGGTAGGGACAAATTAGACAGGTGGATGAACAGGTAGGGACAAATTAGACAGGTGGATGAACAGGTAGGGACAAATTAGGTGGATGTACAGGTAGGGACAAATTAGGTGGATGAACAGGTAGGGGCAAATTAGGTGGATGAACAGGTAGGGACAAATTAGGTGGATGAACAGGTTGGGACAAATTAGGTGGATGTACAGGTAGGGGCAAATTAGACAGGTGGATGAACAGGTAGGGACAAATTAGGTGGATGAACAGGTAGGGGCAAATTAGACAGGTGGATGAACAGGTAGGGACAAATTAGGTGGATGTACAGGTAGGGGCAAATTAGACAGGTGGATGAACAGGTAGGGACAAATTAGGTGGATGAACAGGTAGGGGCAAATTAGACAGGTGGATGAACAGGTAGGGACAAATTAGGTGGATGTACAGGTAGGGACAAATTAGGTGGATGAACAGGTAGGGGCAAATTAGGTGGATGTACAGGTAGAGACAAATTAGACAGGTGGATGAACAGGTAGGGACAAATTAGACAGGTGGATGAACAGGTAGGGACAAGTTAGACAGGTAGGGACAAATTAGACAGGTGGATGAACAGGTAGGGACAAATTAGGTGGATGAACAGGTAGGGACAAATTAGGTGGATGAACAGGTAGAGACAAATTAGGTGGATGAACAGGTAGGGACAAATTAGGTGGATGAACAGGTAGGGGCAAATAAGACAGGTGGATGAACAGGTAGGGACAAATTAGGTGGATGTACATGTAGAGACAAATTAGGTGGATGAACAGGTAGGGACAAATTAGGTGGATGTACAGGTAGGGACAAATTAGGTGGATGTACAGGTAGGGACAAATTAGGTGGATGAACAGGTAGGGACAAATTAGACAGGTGGATGAACAGGTAGGGACAAATTAGACAGGTGGATGAACAGGAAGGGACATATTAGGTGGATGAACAGGTAGAGACAAATTAGACAGGTGGATGAACAGGTAGTGACAAATTAGAAAGGTTGATGAACAGGTAGGGACAAATTAGACAGGTGGATGAACAGGTAGGGACAAGTTAGACAGGTAGGGACAAATTAGACAGGTGGATGAACAGGTTGGGACAAATTAGACAGGTATGGACAAATTAGACAGGTGGATAAATGGTAGGGACAAATTAGACAGGTGGATGAACAGGTAGGGACAAATTAGACAGGTGGATGAACAGGTAGGGACAAATTAGACAGGTGGATGAACAGGTAGAGACAAATTAGTTGGATGAACAGGTAGGGACAAATTAGACAGGTGGATGAACAGGTAGGGACAAATTAGACAGGTTGATGAACAGGTAGGGACAAATTAGGCGGGTGGATGAACAGGTAGGGACAAATTAGACAGGTGGATGAACAGGTAGGGACAAGTTAGACAGGTAGGGACAAATTAGACAGGTGGATGAACAGGTAGGGACAAATTAGGTGGATGTACAGGTAGGAACAAATTAGGTGGATGAACAGGTAGGGGCAAATTAGGTGGATGGAGAGTTAGGGACAAATTAGGAAGGTGAATGGACAGGTAGGGACAAATTAGACAGGTGGATGAACAGGTAGGGACAAATTAGACAGGTGGATGAACAGGTAGGGACAAATTAGGTGGATGTACAGGTAGGGACAAATTAGGTGGATGAACAGGTAGGGGCAAATTAGGTGGATGAACAGGTTGGGACAAATTAGGTGGATGAACAGGTAGGGACAAATTAGGTGGATGTACAGGTAGGGGCAAATTAGACAGGTGGATGAACAGGTAGGGACAAATTAGGTGGATGAACAGGTAGGGGCAAATTAGACAGGTGGATGAACAGGTAGGGACAAATTAGGTGGATGTAAAGGTAGGGACAAATTAGGTCGATGAACAGGTAGGGGCAAATTAGGTGGATGTACAGGTAGAGACAAATTAGACAGGTGGATGAACAGGTAGGGACAAATTAAACAGGTGGATGAACAGGTAGGGACAAGTTAGACAGGTAGGGACAAATTAGACAGGTGGATGAACAGGTAGGGACAAATTAGGTGGATGAACAGGTAGGGACAAATTAGGTGGATGAACAGGTAGAGACAAATTAGGTGGATGAACAGGTAGGGACAAATTAGGCAGGTGGATGAACAGGTAGGGACAAATTAGGTGGATGAACAGGTAGGGGCAAATAAGACAGGTGGATGAACAGGTAGGGACAAATTAGGTGGATGTACAGGTAGAGACAAATTAGACAGGTGGATGAACAGGTAGGGACAAATTAGGTGGATGAACAGGTAGGGGCAAATTAGACAGGTGGATGAACAGGTAGGGACAAATTAGGTGGATGTACAGGTAGAGACAAATTAGGTGGATGAACAGGTAGGGACAAATTAGGTGGATGTACAGGTAGGGACAAATTAGGTGGATGTACAGGTCGGAACAAATTAGGTGGATGAACAGGTAGGGACAAATTAGACAGGTGGATGAACAGGTAGGGACAAATTAGACAGGTGGATGAACAGGAAGGGACATATTAGGTGGATGAACAGGTAGAGACAAATTAGACAGGTGGATGAACATGTAGGGACAAATTAGACAGGTTGATGAACAGGTAGGGACAAATTAGACAGGTGGATGAACAGGTAGGGACAAGTTAGACAGGTAGGGACAAATTAGACAGGTGGATGAACAGGTTGGGACAAATTAGGTGGATGAACAGGTAGGGACAAATTAGGTGGATGAACAGGTTGGGACAAATTAGGTGGATGAACAGGTAGGGACAAATTAGACAGGTGGATGAACAGGTAGGGACAAATTAGGTGGATGAATAGGTAGGGACAAGTTAGACAGGTAGGGACAAATTAGACAGGTGGATGAACAGGTAGGGACAAGTTAGACAGGTAGGGACAAATTAGACAGGTGGATGAACAGGTTGGGACAAATTAGGTGGATGAACAGGTAGGGACAAATTAGGTGGATGAACAGGTAGGGACAAATTAGGTGGATGAACAGGTTGGGACAAATTAGGTGGATGAACAGGTTGGGACAAATTAGACAGGTGGATGAACAGGTCGGGACAAATTAGGTGGATGAATAGGTAGGGACAAATTAGACAGGTGGGGGAACAGGTAGGGACAAATTAGGTGGATGAACAGGTTGGGACAAATTAGGTGGATGAACAGGTTGGGACAAATTAGGTGGATGAACAGGTTGGGACAAATTAGGTGGATGAACAGGTAGGGACAAATTAGGTGGATGAACAGGTAGGGACAAATTAGACAGGTGGATGAACAGGTTGGGACAAATTAGGTGGATGAACAGGTTGGGACAAATTAGGTGGATGAACAGGTAGGGACAAATTAGGTGGATGAACAGGTAAGGACAAATTAGGTGGATGAACAGGTAGGGACAAATTAGACAGGTGGATGAACAGGTTGGGACAAATTAGGTGGATGAACAGGTTGGGACAAATTAGGTGGATGAACAGGTAAGGACAAATTAGACAGATGAATGAACAGGTAGGGGTACATTAGGCGCAAGTTAATGGTGGCAAAGTCACGATCAAGTTTATTTTTTTTTTAAATCGATCAGGGGGAAGAACTCTCGTCCCACCTGTTTTCGTTGTGTACGTTCACGATTGTCTTTCCTTGTTTTATTATCCCGAGTACCACAATTGTATAGATACGTGTAGATCTAAAAATTGTAATGTACTTTGTTTGTTGACAGGTTGGGTACGATTCCTCCCCACAAATGCTGCGAGTCTATGAGAACTTAAAGAAGAAGAAAGACATGAAAGTCGCTGAGAAAACTGAATGCTTTGCATCTTTAGGTGAGAGCTGTTGTGTCATTAATGATGGCATTTAAGCTTAGCACAAACATTATCAAATTTTCGAATAACTAGACTTTAATATTGTAATATGATAACTATTTTAATAATGTAACTCCAAATACGTTTTATAAATCCCATTTTCTTTTTTATTTTATATAACCCTTTTATTCTAAATTTTATTAATAAATAATTAATAATTTTTTAAATTGATTTTGAAATTAGTATCCAACCATCTAGTAAAAAATGTACAGATGTTAACTATTAATCTATTGAATCTGTTTATCCTTTTATTTATTCATTGCGTCGATCAGTGTGAACTATTGAAGAATTATCTAAAAGATGTATTATTTTAAAGATTGATAGAGAATTAAAAAAAAAATAACGCCCTTGTCCTTATTTGTTCCCCAGGCATACAAAAGAACTTCCCTTACCAGCTGGAGTAATCTACATGAAGTGATACTGACAACTCTGGTGTCTTCTATCATCTTGATGACGTCGACATCTATCTATTGGACCAAGTTAATTAGACGGCAATTATATAATTTACACAAATAAACTAACCTGTGATTCAAAACTTTGATAATTCGTTGTATTTAATACATTTAAACTCAGTTTTAACATTATTTTACTTGAAAGGAAATGGGATATAACTCTACTTTTAGGATTAAATCAAATAACATTATTATTTCCCTTGATGTAACATATAACATTATTATTTCCCCTGATGTATGAGTTTTCCAAATAGTAATGTGCAACTTATAGGACATAAAGGTATAAGTGTCGCAAGGTCAGTAATGAAACCGGATCACGGATGTCATGTTATGAACTTTAAAAATCGGTAATTATACACTTCGGGGCAGACTCACTGTCAAGGTCATTTTGTTGTCCGTTTCCTGCTGAAGTTGTCCTCATGCTCACATTATAATAGTGACCATAAACTTGCGCAACAGAAACTTGCGCAACAAAAACTTGCGCAACAGAAACATGCGCAACAGAAACATGCGCAACAGAAACTTGCGCAACCGAAACTTGCGCAACCGAAACTTGCGCAACAGAAACTTGCGCATCGCAGAGCTAGGCTAAAAACAGCGCGAATGGGAATTGTACAAAAATCGAAACATTCAAAGGCGCAGAAGAAAACATGTGTTTCAAAAAATGTCGTATCGGTGTATGTCAACTAAATGTGAGACGTTAGTTATTTTAAGATTAGTAAAAAAAAAGTTTACAAAATAAAAAAAAAATTCCCAAACCGCCCCCCCCCCCTTACAACCGTCCCACCCCTACAAGTAACATCTTCTCACCGACAGTCCATCCACAAACATACACAACTACACTTCAACACCCCCGCACACACACACACTCACAAAATCACGACCCCCACCCCCACCCGCACCCCCTTTCCCAACCTAACTCAATTAAACGTTTTGTATTCCCATCTAACTTTTGAGACTAAACTAAGGTCACGTAGAAAAGAAAAATGTTACTGGATATGAGAAAAAAGTAAAAATAGTTTAATCCACAAAATAAATTTGACAAAAATGCGATTTAGATTATAATTAACTTTCTCCACCATTCAGGCCACAACACAGTCACTTGATATGGGCCAAAAGTGCACCAACTGGCACCAACTGATACGGGCAATCAGTGCACAAACTGATTTTGGCCACCAATGCATCATCGCCAATTCACAAGCCACTCCCAAATCTTTTTTACGGTCAACTGACTTGTACTTTAACCGACCCACCTTCACATTCCCAATTCTATGTAACCGACCAACCCTCACATTCCCCCTCTTGTGCTATAACCGACCAAACCTCACATCCCCACTCCCATGTAACCGACCAACCCTCACATCCCCACTCCTGTTTAACCGACCAACCCTCACATCCCCACTCCTGTGTAACCGACCAACCCACACACCCCCACTCCTGTGTAACCGACCAACCCTCACATCCCCACTCCTGTGTAACCGACCAACCCTCACATCCCCACTCCCATGTAACCGACCAACCCTCACATCCCCACTCCTGTGTAACCGACCAACCCTCACATCCCCACTCCTGTTTAACCGACCAACCCTCACATCCCCACTCCTGTGTAACCGACCAACCCTCACATCCCCACTCCCATGTAACCGACCAACCCTCACATCCCCACTCCTGTGTAACCGACCAACCCTCAGAACCCCACTCCTGTGTAACCGACCAACCCTTACATCCCCACTCCTATGTAACCGACCAACCCTCACATCCCCACTCCTGTGTAACCGACCAACCCTCACATCCCCACTCCTATATAACCGACCAACCCTCAGATCCCCCCTCCTGTGTAACCGACCAACCCTCAGAACCCATCATCTGTGTAACCGACCAACCCACACACCCCCACTCCTGTGTAACTGACCAACCCTCACACCCTACTCCTGTGTAACCGACCAACCCTCACATCCCATCACCTGTGTAACCGACCAACCCTCAGAACCCCCATCCTGTCTAGGTAAGCATTACGTCACCCTCCACCTGTCAGTATCTATGATAACGATCCGAACGGTCACGATTCGAATACATACTAATATTTCACATCAAAACAACCAGCGTATCATAGCTTTCATCTTTATAGACAGGAGAGTGAATCAACGCTAATCTTACCTTACAATTAAAAACACATACTTTACCTTTTATTCACAGGTACATCTCATTAATAAAACACAATGAAGCCATAAATCACAAATCGCGCGCACCTACAACTTAATTACAATGACAAACGGCACGTAACGCTATTAAACAATGACATTCAGATTTCACGTAGTGTGGGGTCATTCTAAATTTAGGGTCGCACAGTCCATTCATAAAAAATTATACACAAAACTCTTATAAAGAAGAGCTGTTAAAATGAAATGAAGTTCTGTTTTTGTAATGCTTAAAGTAGTAGGTACTGTTTCTTTCTTTTTTCTCCAAGGGGGGGGGGGGGGGGGGTGAAGGGCACTTGAAAATTTCGGTGGGGTGGGGGGGGGGGGGGGCGGACTAAAATTTTCGGGGGAGTGGGGCACGTATTGGTAAAGGTATATATTTAATATTTAATTTCAATTTTGTCGGGGGGGGGGGGGAGTGATAGACGTTTTTCGAAGGGGACAGAAGAGACCTGAAAAAAACTCTAGTGCCCCATGGTCAGTATTACGTTATCGCCCCTGTTGTGAGATAAAGACTACAAGTTAAAATGTTTTTAATGTAACCTTCATGTTGTACATGGACCATGCGATTAATAAAAGCTTTTCGCATTGGAAGGGATTATAAACCCTTTAATAATTCATTATTGGTTGTTTGAATTTTTAAAAATGTCTCGTCTTAAAAAAAAAACTATGTTCAAAACGTTTTAAAGAAAATGTTTATTAGCAGCTATTAAAATTGTAACCGTTGTTTTCGAATGTCATATTGATCATAAGAAAACGAGTGCTGCATTTGTGTATATATTTAGGTAATACACCGTTTTAGATAGATCAATGGAAGCCAGTAAAATCAAATGCTCTATAGATCACCAATCCTGTAGTCTGAAGAGGGGTTGGAAGCAGGCATTGTTTTCAAAATAGTAATGTGAACCAGCGGCGTAGAGAGGTCGGGTGTCACCCGGTGCGCCACTTAATGGTGTCACCCCTCAGAGGCGTAGCGACCCTTCCCGGCAACCGGGGACACACTTTGAATTTTCGATTTGCACCCCCCCCCACCCTCAAACTTTCGATTTGCACCCCCTCTCAAACTTTCGATTTGCCCCCCCCCCCCCCTCCACCCTTGTCGGGATTTGAAAATTTGCTCTTAAAAGACTTTTTAACACTCGAATTAATCACTTAATTAAGTGGAATTATCATGGTTCTCTATTTATTTTGCTATTTTTTGCCTTGGTGTCACCCCCCTAAATGGTGTCACCCGGTGCGGTCCGCACCCCCCCCCCTTCGCTACGCCACTGATGTGAACATCGAGTATCTTTACAAAGTTGAAGGTAGACATTGGTACATTGCAACAATACACCAGTTTTATATTACTAACGTGTAGTGTCATTCCCATACCCAAATCCTTGAACATCTAGTCTTATTCCCTGTACCTAAATCCCTTTAAATTGTAGGAAAAGTAATGTAAAGTACAATCGCATTAATAATTCACTTTATTATCAGTAAACAGCAACCAACCAGTAGCGTGTTTTTGGTAAACATTCCGCATTGAAGTACGCGAAACTTCGTTGACAGATGATGAAAATCATCCTAACAGGATATAGGCCCCAGATGGTCAAGGTTTTTTATTTTAATTTTTACATTTAAAAAAAATTTACACCAACATGCACTTTGTGATGTGATGTTGTTGTTAAAAATGAAAATTAAATTACGTCATTCAAAAAAAATCTTTCAAAACTAATAAAAATGTTCTACTGTTATTTTCCACCGGGTACACAGAGTCTACAATAATAAATCAAAACTCATCAATATGGAAAGCAGACCTTAGTACATATAAACAATTATCGAAGTCTCAAAAATGCTACATATTGATCTTCCTATAGATTTGATTGATGTTTCAGTCCAGAATCGTAAACTAGCATTATTATACATGTACGAGAAAAATGGCCCGTTGAGGAAGGATACACCGGGCGCTAGGTTGATAGTGCTGTCTCTTTTCTCTAAACTAAAACCAACCCACCCCCCCCCCACACACACACCCCCCCCCCCCCCCCACCCCACACCCACCCCACACACCAGCCCCCCCACCACCCCACCCACCGCCACCCACCCCCACCCCACCCCCACCCCCCAAAAAACATGTCTACCGTCCCATTCAACGAAATATAATTATATACTTTTTCCAGTGTCCGCCCCCTCCCCGAAAATTTTACCCCCGCCCCCGAAAATTTCAAGTACCCCCACCGCTCTCCGGGGAGGAAAAAGTCTGAAAGAAACACTGGTGTCGCGCTTAGCCACTACGCGAAGAATTGCATTAAAGAAATTGCGAGAAAACCACTTTTTAGATTAGACACATTAATTAGGCGGTAATTTTATTATAGAGTATCGATGAGGAAACCACCGCCCCCCCACCCCCCCACTCACACCTCCCCCCCCACCCCCCCCCCACTCCCCCCCCCCCCCCACCCCCCCCCCCCACTCCCAAAAAAAACATGTCTACCGTCCCATTCAACGAAATATAATTATATACTTTTTCCAGTGTCCGCCCCCCCTCCCCGTAAATTCTAACCCCGCCCTCGAAAATTTCAATTACCCCCACCCCTCTCCGGGGAGGAAAAAGTCTGAAAGAAACACTGGTGTCGCGCTTAGCCACTACCCGAAGAATTGCATTAAAGAAATTGCAAGAAAACCACTTTTTAGATTAGACACATTAATTAGGCGGTAATTTTATTATAGAGTATCGATGAAGAAATTTCTTTTGAGTTGGGGAGGGGGGGGGGGGCTCAGACGTTCTTACGCGGGGGGTGGGGCTTCGCCCCTACCCGAAGAATTGTATGCAAGAAACTCTTCACGCAAACCATTAAGATTAGACAACATTTCCTTTTTATTCAATGTTAACGCGAAAATCAATGACGTCATATAACTGTGAGCACTCTCTGGGTTTGAGATTATTTTCTACTCTGTGCTAAATGTGTCGACGTCATACTTCGTTTTTCGAATTACTGTGCATGTTTTTAAATTGCTTGTCTTTTCTCTAGAGCGTTCTTGTCAGATAGATAGATAGATAGATAGATAGATAGATAGATAGATAGATAGATAGATAGAGAGACAGCGAAACTATTATTATAGACTAGAATACCCGTCATCCGTTGGATAACTGTGGGTTTCGGGGGTCATCCATCAAAAAACATCACGTCTGTCACTCAGAGGCATAGCGACCCTTCCCGGCGCCCGGGGACAAAGTTTTCGATTTGAACCCCCCCCCCTCAAACTTTTGATGTGCACCCCCCCCCCCCCCACTCAAACTTTCGATTTGAACCCCCCTCAACCTATCAATTTATTTTTCCAAACCATTTTGGCGCCCCAACATATGTCCCCCCCCCTTCCCCCCTCCACCTCCCCACCCCCCCCTTCCCCCCCCCCGCCTCCCCTCCCCACCCCCCGCCTCCCCTCCCCACCCCCCGCCTCCCCTCCCCCCGCCTCCCCTCCCCTACCGTCCCCCCCCCCCCTCCTCGGTACGCTACTGCAGTGTCACTTATCGTCACAAAAAACAGACCCCACATTCAAATATATGTTTTTTATCTTTTAAAAACACCGAAAACACCGATTTCGGACTATCCCTTCATAAACTGACGTCACAGGTGACCTACTCAACTCTACTTCACCTGCCCAGTGTCCTGCCAAGTCTCAGACAACATGTTTTTATCGTTTAAAAAACAATTCCAGCCGAGCATGTATCTGACCACACTATCCTTTCATATGCTTAGGACAAAGAAACAGATGAACTCTACTTCACCTGCCCTGTATCTTGCCAAGTTCAGATAGGCAACGTTATCATTCACATCTAAAAAAAAAAAATTGAAAAAAAAAATTTCATTGACATATTGGTCTAGAACCCGTGCCTCCTGCATGAGAGCTGACTACGCTACCATTTTAGCTATTTACTCGTGACGTCACAAGTGAATTTTTATACTATACTATGTGTCTCCTTATGCAACTTGATTTACGCGTATAGATTCTAGATCTAGATCTAAAAATAAGTCTAGTAGTACTAACTTTCAAATTAAATTTTATCTTAAATAAGCCAAACAAAGATTTATATAAAATAATTAAGGCCTGAAATAGATTCTAGATGTAGAATTTACATTGAATCTAGTGACCTACATCTAGGCTAGATCTAGATCTAGGCTAGATTCATAAATTTCCTTCGATAGCTGATCTTTAGATCTAGTGAAATTTATCGTAAAACTAAATGAAAAAGACAGTTGAAAATTGATATAAGTGTTGGAACGTAATAAATACAGCAAACGGACGTATTGTTAAAGTTATGACCGACAGAAAATTAGCTTTCTAACGCGTTAAACTTTTGAATGGGCCACAAAGTCTTTGATGGGGTCCGCCATTTTTATTGAACCAAAAATGTAAACACATCAAGGGACGTCACTATCCCCACAAAGTTTATTCAAAGTATTAACATTTTTAAAAAAATACGGTTAATTTAACTATGAATAAATCAATTAATTAATTAACGTCTTTAAATAAATTTGTGATTAACAGTCTGTCTGCATTAAAAAATTATTCTCTACCTACATACTATTTTACAGCTCTCCACATAGAGCCGAACATATCAGGATACTTGATCAGGCAAACAAACAAAAAAACAAAAAAATAAATATTCAAACATGTAAACAAAGTTGACTTTTAGTAGTATATATAGATAGATGTTATCCATTCTCATTAAGATAGCGTACTTGATTTTCAGATGTATCCATAGTTTCCGCTTTAATCCATACAAACAAGAGCTGCAAGATTAGTAACTTTTTTTATTAAACCATTTTGATACAACAAAATAATCTTCACTTGTTAAAAAAATATTGGATTAGGCAATCAAGCCATCATAGTTGATGCATTCAATGCAGAATAAAGGCATCGTCTTCAATTACCCACAAAAAATCTAGTTTCGTACAAAGACACAGTTATAATTAATCATTAATCATTGCTCAATAGATAAAACAACCTTCACAGCCATTGCTAACTATCTAACACATACAACAGAAACACAACTAAATTTAAAAAAATTAAGTGCACGTGAAATGATTCGCATGTCATTTCCCTACTACTCGAATTGTATATTTTTAAATACTTTTGTATTTTTTTTTCAATTTTGTTAGATATCTCCGTTATTTTACGAATTCCAGGTAAGTTAACCAATAATATATAATTATAGTTATACAATTGTTAAAAAAAGTTCAATTCGTTTTGATTGATATTTTAAAATCACAATCACAAGCCCTATTTAAAGGTTGAACTTTGTTGGTGTTTTAATTTCTCATCGTTGGTCGGAAACGAGGTCGTTTTTGAGGATGTGGGAAGTCACCTTTACACCCCCCCCCCCCACCCCCACCCACCCCCAATTTTAACTTCTGCTGCGGGCGTCCTGTATCCGGATTATCGTTTCTTGTCAATTAATTATTTTATCAGGAAATCAAAATCTGACGTAAAGGCAGGTCACGTGCTATTGAAACAAACACGACGTTTTGATTGGCTGGGGCAAATGTATGCATACTTATAAATACAACTCAATATTAATTAGTCGTCCCTTTGTAGGAATTTGATTTCTCGCTAGGTAAGTTCTAGAACTTAATTAGACATTAATTAACTGCAGAGATTACGGCAAATGATGTTAAAAAAAAGTAAAGTTTCCCTTTCAAACCTGACGGTCTATGGGGCAAGTGAAGTAGAGTTTACTTGTTGCTGTAACCTCGGTATATCAAGAGATAGTGTGGTCATCACTATGCCCAGCCGCCTTTACTCTTCTTAACATGAGTTAGGTACCCATTAGAGTTGGGTGGACTCAGGGACGTTCTACTGACTTGAACCCATTCGAACTCGAAACTTACGGGTTAGCAGTCCAGCTCTCTACCGCTAGACCACTCCGTACCATAATTGATGTTATCTGAGATGAAAGTGTTTTAGTCTGGCTATCTCTTAGACTTTCGAGCTTGCGGAAAGTCACGAGTTCGAATCCCGGGCTTGAGTCTGTAGGACGTCCTGAGTCCACCTTGCTCAGACTGGTACCTGAATCACTTTAAAGAAACCACGGCGTCTTGCCTTGGTGCTGACCACACTATCCTCTTGTATGCCGTGGTCATTGGAATAGATGAATTCTACTTCATCTGCCCCCTGTGTCTTGGGCACGAAGGGAAAATTATGATGATGATTCTATGTGAAAAAAAATTAACCACGTTAATGTTAGTAATATTAAGTTGAGGCCCTGTCTTCTCAGTATGTATCATCCAGGTAATTGCAATATTTTCTTTGTCGGAAAGGTTTTTTTAATATTTTATTTTAAATTAAAATTATTATTTTTTTGCTGGGATGTTGAAATAATCATTGGCGTCGCTATCCAGGTGGGGGATATACAGGTGATGGGGAAGGCATGGGGCTGATCTTGCTGGCCTAGAATTGATTTACTTCTTTTCTTGAATATTAATAAACGTGTTTTAGTAAACGAAACATCGTTATTGACATTTGATGGGAAAAATACAACGCAATCACAGAGAGATATAAGATTTAATTTCAATAAAAACGTGAATGTTCTTCAGGCTGAGCCATACGATAATGACGTCAGTGGTTCCAGCCCAAGTCTCGCTACACGTGTGTCTACGTGCCCTCCTGCTCCTGCTAATGTTGACCTGGTGCCAGGGAGCCGTCAGGAACTACTACATCGCTTCTAGAGACGTCTTATGGAACTACTGCCCAGGGGGAGTTAACCTAGTGGACCCCAACGATCAAGTGTGAGTTGTTTTCTTTTAGTGCTAGAGTAGGGTGTGTGGTGGAGTGGTAAAGACATTAATGCCCTTGTGTGTGGTAAAGACATTAATGCCCTTGTGAGTGGTAAAAACATCAATGCCCTTGTGGGTGGCAGATAGATTAGTGCCTTTGTGGATGGTAGAGAGATTAGTGCCTTTGTGGATGGTAGAGAGATTAGTGCCTTTGTGGATGGTAGAGAGATTAGTGCCTTTGTGGATGGTAGAGAGATTATAGCCCTTGTGGGTGGTAGAGAGATTAGTGCCTTTGTGGATGGTAGAGAGATTAGTGCCTTTGTGGATGGTAGAGAGATTAGTGCCTTTGTGGATGGTAGAGAGATTAGTGCCTTTGTGGATGGTAGAGAGATTATAGCCCTTGTGGGTGGTAGAGAGATTGGTGCCTTTGTGAGTGGTAGAGAGATTGGTGCCTTTATGAGTGGTAGAGAGATTAGTGCCTTTATGAGTGGTAGAGAGATTAGTGCCTTTGTGAGTGGTAGAGAGATTAGTGCCTTTGTGAGTGGTAGAGAGATTAGTGCCTTTGTGGGTGATAGGTGCCCTTGAGTGTGGTAGGTACCCTTGTGTGTGTTAGAGAGACTGGTGCCCTTGGGTAGAGGAATTCGTCCCTTGCTTGTAGTGGAAAAATGTTGGAAATTGAAAAGACAGACTGGGGAGTTTGCATATTACCAGCCATTTGTTATTAACGTAAAATGAAACAAAAAAACGTTTTACAATCTCCAGGACAGCCGACAAGTATGTTGTACCAGGCACCAGCCGTGTAGGCAGCAAGCGTCTGAAGACCCTATTCTTCCAGTACACTGACCAGACGTACACCACAGAGATGGTCAAGCCGGCATACCAGGGTCTTCTTGGACCAATCATACGTGGGGAAGTCGGTGACGTCATAGTCGTCTATTTTTTCAACAACGCCTCCAGGAATTATTCGATCCATCCACATGGTGTTTTCTATGAGAAAAAAAGTGAAGGTCAGTTAGTGCTAAACATAACTCAACTCTACTTCACCTGTTATCTCATGTGTCAAATATTTCTCATAATGTCAGTAGTTATATATGGACTATATAAGAAAGTGATGGGAGAGAAAGTTTTTGTGTGTATATTATAATGATGTTCGTGATACCAAAATACAACAGTGTCCAGAGGCGTAGCGATCCCTCCCGGCGCCCGGGGACCCAATATTTTTTATATTTATAATTCAAAATAGCAGCTAAGAAGAGCTTATTTTGGCGCCTCTAGAATCGGCGCCCGGGGAAATATGTACCCCCCGACACCCCCCCCCCCTCGTCGCTACGCCTCTGACAGTGTCTATAAACAAATGTAAGGGTTAGGGCTAAGATGGTTTTAAAATGTACGCGTAAATAAAAATGTTAATGGTCTGAACAACAATATCCCATAAATCATTTACACTCTCATCTTTTATCTTTACAATCAGCAAACAGGTAGACTGAAATATCTTTTTTAAACTTCGCACGACGTCATCATTTTATTTTTAGGTGCGCTATATTTAGACGGGACATCGGGAATTTCCAAAGAAGACGACAGCGTCATGCCAGGGTGCCGGGTCACCGTGACGTGGAACGTGACCGTGAGTGATGCCCCGGCAGAGGGTGACCCGGCGTGCCTCCCGTGGGTGTACCACTCCCACATCAACACCAGGAGGGACGTGTCCACGGGGATGATAGGCGTGGTCGTCACGTGCAAGCCAGGTGAGGGTCGCTTGTTTAGTGGGGTAAGGGGGGGGGGTAAGGAGCGGAGGGTCACATATTTAGTGGGGTAAGGGGGGGGGTCACATGTTTAGTGGGGTAAGGAGTGGAGTAAGGAGTGGGGTAAGGAGGGGAGGGTCACATGTTTAGTGGGGTAAGTAGGGGAGGGTGACATTGATTGCATTTTGTAAATCGAATATTTTGATCGAGTTTAATCTTGCTAGCACTTTGTTGGATATATTTGTGACATTTCGCTGTATTTATGTTTAAGACTTTTTTTATTAGTTGGATATTTTTTTTTCAATTTTAGACTATTTCTTTTTGGTAAAATGTTGGAGATTTAACTATTGCTGAGATTTTTGTAGGCTTTTGCTTTGTACGATTGGGCTGGGGTTCATTGTTTGAACAAAGTGCTTAAATTAGACTCTGTTGGAAATTTATTTTAATTTTTACCTTTGAGAATTTAGGAGCTTAATACAAATATTTATTTTATTTTTAACTACTGTTTAATTCAATTATAAACAAGAATTAACTTCATTAACCAATGTTCCTTCTAAAGGGAAAAGGATAGTATGCTACATGTATTTTATGAGCTCGGTGTTCTATACCTATTTTACAAGGTTATATGTATTGTAAAAAAAAATGACTGCTCGGCAGGTTCTAATGTACTGCGCGGCAGCTTAGAGTTGATATTGCTCACAACCTATTGACCTGCGTACTCTTCTCACCCCACAGGTACACTGAACTCCAAGAACGAGCGTGTGGACGTGGATGTCGAGGTGCCGTTGTTCGTCATGAACTGGGACGAGAACATCAGCTGGCACCACAGGGACAACATCAACACCTTCTGTCTGTCACCATCAACATGTCAACACCTGGCGGACAGTAGTGACCCAGGTTTTGTGGACAGCAATTTGATGAGGTCCGTTAATGGAAGGTCGTTTGGTACGCTGGAGGGATTGGAGGTGAGGACATTGTGGTAGTTGTTCGAAGAAGAGGGGGAGGAGGGGCACGTCCAGGAGTAACATCGTGCAATTATAACCAAACCTTAACCTCTCCCTCCTATAGTCATAAGTAAAGTAAAGTAAAGTTCCCTTTCAAACCTGACGGCCTATAGGGCAAGTAAAGTAGTGTTCCCCTCGGCCTATGAAGAGATAGTGTGGTGAGCACTGTGCCCAGCCGCCTTTACTTTCCCTAACGTGTGTTAGGGACCCATCAGAGTTGGGTGGACTCAGGGACGGTCTACTTGAACCCGGATTCGAACTCGAGACTTACGGGCTAGCAGTCCAGCTCTCTACCGCTAGACCACTCCGACCTTAAGTCATACTTTTTCCATAAATGATTCCTGAATCGACATTATAATTTGGGGCCTACTCTTTTTATTTGATTTTGTTTTGTCCCTAAGAGAATCCAAAGCTACATTGCATTATTTTACCTACCATCCTTCTTCCCCTTCATCGTTTAGTACCTCATCGTAAAGTCATACTCAGCATTTCCTCAAAGTTTCATGATTTCATTTATTGACGATCTTTTAAATGTAATGATAGAATGATTGTGAGACATTCAAGTTGTTATATTTTGTCTAGCACTAGAGCTAATAATAGCCATGTAAAAATGTTAGTATCTTTTTGTCATTGATTAATTGGTGTCAGTCTTTAAGTAATGCATGTGTGTGGGATCTCACGGTATCAAAGTGATGGCAGTGGTTAGTAATATGCCCAGCCACTACAACGTACCCATAAGTCTAATTTCAACTATGTTTTACGGGGTAAAGTTAGAGATGGCTACCCTTTCTAGAAAGTAGAGTTCACCTTTTTCAGGGACCTCGGCTTATGACGGTTTAGTGTGGTCAGCACTATGCCCAGCCGTCTTTAGTTTTCCTGAGCGTTGGTCATGTACCCCATGAGAGATACGTGGACACAGGGATAACATACAGACTCAAGTTTAGGATTTAAACTCGGAACTTTCGTGTAGCATTCGTATGCTTTACTATCCGACCACGCCGTACCACAACGTCATCCCTACCCCACACAAAATATAATAACACATACATATATATCATGCACTTCTCCCACCTTTTCTAATAAGTGTACGATACCTTGTAATACAAGAATCTAGAGATTTACCAAAACAAGCTTGACATGTTTCTGACAGGTATGTGTTGGAGACCGTGTCCAGTTTTACGTCATCGGTTTTGGGAACGAGATGGACGTCCACTCGATGCACTTCCATGGTCAGAATCTCAAGTACCAGCACCGGAGGTAGACACTGATGCAGTCTATAGTTTCTGGCTAGAGTTGTGTTTAGAGTTTGTATGTCGCAGTGTGGGTTGTCTTTCTCGCATCTTTACACGCTCTTTTGCCGTGTATTGATGTATCTCTATTTGTGTACCGGTGATCGTAGGGTTTAGGAAATAGAAATACGTGTTTTACTTTATGCGGTTATAAGACTCTGTGTGTGTTTGTGTATGTGTGTGAAAGAGAGATAGAGAGCGTGTGTGTGTGTGTGAGAGAGAGAGAAATGAAAGAGATACAGAGAATGTGCCAGTGAACGATATGCGATAGGGCGGCGCTGGGGTTTGAAAAAATGTATATAAAATAGGGCCTATTTATAAGCTAAGAACTTCACACCCCCTCCACCCCCCACTTCACCTAGACAAAGTTATAGGCTGGATTTGTCGCGGATCTAATAGCGCAGATGTTTAGTGTAAGGTTAGTCTAACAACCTAAACAACCTAAACGGTAGTTAAAAAACCATTAATCACCGTGTTGTTCTATCAATGTGTAAAGTTACAAACAGAGCTCTAACCAACCATAACTGAAAAATTTTGTAGCGTTTAGAGTAGCATCAGACTATGCACTATCTCACTCCACTATTACTTCCAATAGCTGAGTAGCTCTGTGTACTACACCTGATTAGATGTATGCCCTTGTCTAACTAGTTATGACATGGAAAAGTTTATTAGCCAGGTGCCACATCAAGTACATTTATACATCTTCTATCCTTCTAGAGGCGACACCGTGTCTGTGTACAGTGCCACGTTCGTTGCCGTGGCAACCAGACCATCAAACCCTGGACGATGGCTGATCGCTGACTTTGTCGATGACCACCAAAAAGGTATTTAGAAGTGATTTATTCTTAGATATAAATAGCTCCCTAAAAATCGAACATGATTTTTTATTTTTGTTAATTAATTTACAAAACGTTTTTGAAAATTTATTACTTTTAGTTGAATTGTTATATAAAATAACTTAAGAATATTTAGGCTAGCAAGTTTTGAACAGCGAAATTGTACTTTAAAATGACGATTTGAGTTTACTGTGATAATAATGATAAATATAATAGCAGTCCACACCTTAGCTTTAACACACACTCTTTGTTCTTCGGCTGCCTAGCAATACTCGAGGTTTAATTAGCAAGGGTGTTATGTCATAATCCGGATTATCTGACAATAATCATGGGTTAACACTGGGGACAGTTGGGGAAGCTAGCTTTGCCGATTTGCGTTTAAGTTTTTGTCTGCTAATGCGTTCTAACTGCTTGATACTAACTGATAGATACTAGTTCTTTAGAGGGAATAAGTGTATATACATGAAATTTCCCAAAGATTACTTTGACTTAAGTAATTTATAACAGAGGCGTAGCGACCCTTCCCGGCGCTCGGGGACAAACTTTCAATTTGGCGCCCCCCTCGAGAACAACCTTTCAATTTTCAATTTGCATCCCCCCCCCCCCTCAAACTTTCAATTTGCACCTCCCCTCCCATATTTTTTTTTATATTTATAATGCAAAACTGCAGCTAAAGTAAGATTTTAATTTGTTTTTTTACAAACCATTTAGGCGCCCCCTAAGGTCGGCGCCCGGGGAAATATGTACAACCCCCCCCCCCCCCCTCGCTACGCCTCTGATTTACAATCACGTGATTTCTCCAGAGGGTACAGCGGCGTTCTATAACGTGAAGACCTGCCCCAACAAAGGCTACAAGAGATACCCATCACGTGACGGCTACTCTGGGACGACGAGGGAGTTTTTTCTAACGGCCGAGGAGATCACGTGGAACTACGGACCAACGGGGTTGGATGGCAGGACGATGTTGCCATTGACAACGGCTGGCAGGTGTGTAAACCATCGTCGAAAATGTTAGCCTGACATTACCTTTAATTTGATATCTCTAGATATCCACACTCTACATATTCCGTGCAAAGCACTAGTGACAATGTGTGAACTTCTTCACCTTCCTAATGTTGAGATCTAATTTATTAATTTAAAAATATTTCTCTCTTCATACACACCCAGCAAATAAAATAACAACATCTATTTCGTCTACCCTGTTCAGATCAAACCAAAGTCTAATATATCCTTAATCTATCAGTTGCCAAGAAACAATTTTACCGTTGTAATGATTTAAACACAAATTTTTCTTCTATTGAATCATCACAATTCTACAGTTATTATAACTTTCCATGTCAGTCCAACAATAACCTCTCTCCTCCTCTAGTTCTAGCTTTAATTTCTAACCCCCTGGCACCCTCATTCCATCTCAGCTCTAAATTTTAACTCGTTCATTTTCTCAGCCTGCAAAAGCTGCAAATTAGGATCTTCTGATTACATTTAATTAATTCTCTAAATTATAATAATTTATTACGCACCATTAACTCTTCTAAATTTCAATCCCACCCAATTTTTAACCCCCAAAAATCTATTTTATAACTAGGCCTACTCTAACCTACCCCTTAAAACTGTACTTTTAACACCATCCACAGCCCATCGAATCTTTACTTCAATCTCAACCAAACCCGACTGGGCGGTGTGTACAAGAAGGCCAAGTTCATCCAGTACACAAGTTCACTCTTCTGTACCAAGGTCAGCAGCTCGCCCAAGGACGCTCACCTTGGCATTCTGGGACCGGTCCTGCGCGTGGAGGTCGGGGACAGGGTGGTCGTGACCTTGAAGAATCTCCTCCCCTTCCCCGTGTCCTTTCTAACCCACGGTCTTAGTTACGACGTAGCAGAGGAGGATAAAGGTGAGCCCACAGTCTTTTAAAAGACAGAAGGTTGAAAATATAATAAATTATTGTCATCCATATGGGAGATAAATAAAGAAATAAGATAATACGTCTAGTCATGGTGAATGATATTTGTTTTATACTTGGTTGAAATTTATTTTTCCAAAACAAACACACACACACATATATATATATATATATAAATAAATAAATATATATATATATATATATATATATATATATATATATATATACATATATATATGTGTGTGTAAGTATATATATATATATATATATATATATATATATATATATATATATATATATATATATATATATATATATGTGTAAATATATATATATATATATATATATATATATATATATATATATATATATATATATATATATATATATATATATATATATATATATATATATATTATATATATATATATTATATATATATATATATATATATATATATATATACATATATATATATAAGCATATATATACACAAGCTTAGATATATACATATATATAGGCCTATATGTATATATAAATTATTTATATAGGTATTTTTATTTGTTTATACCGCATTCGCTTACATCGCCATGAAACTGATGTATCTTGTAGTTGGCTATGGCGTACCAGGCGGATCAGTCGGCCTAAACCAGGTCCACACCTACAGGTTTGACGTGCCCACCAACCTACTAGAGGGGTCATCTGAACCTTGTCTCAGTTTCCTGTACACGTCAATGCACGATCCTGTCCGTGACCACAACACTGGTCTGGTTGGTGCAATCCTCGTCTGTCAGAAGGGATATCTGGCGTATAGGGTGAGTAAACATTTGGGTGTCTGGCGTGTAAGGTGAGTTAATAGTGGGGTATCTGGCGTATAGAGTAAGTTCATAGTGGGTTATATGGCATAAAAGGTAAGTTAATACTACCTGTAAACTTATGTAAATGTGTACACACGTATACATATATGTATAAATAAATAAATGCTAAAGGTATATTATATAGCTATAAAAAATTATATATATATATATATATATATATATATATATATATATATATATATATATATATATATATATATATATATTACAAATATGCTTACATATATTTTAGAGCTTGTTTGATTCATAATGTTTTTAACTCCCTCTAATTTACAGGGACCCAAGCCAAGCGAATATTTTTTACTGCTAGCAACATTTGATGAGAACAAGTCCCTGTACATGTCCCCCACCGTAAGCGTAGGGAATGATCTAGAAGGATTTGTTCAGTCCAACGTTAGATGGAGTAAGTGGTTTTTGCTCAAAGAACTAACATAAGAATAAACAAGACTATTTCTAGCACTATAGCCAAGTATATAGCTAGTAAATTTACGACTTAGCATCCCAGATTCTACAATATATACACATTCTTATATTTTGTTTCAACGTTTTGACAACTAAAAGCGATGTTCTGTTAGTTTCTGCGTTGTTGGATTTCTAATTACAATTTTAAAATACTCTGAAGCACTTTGGGATCGTCTTGAAATTACGTCACTTTCCAGTCTTTTGTGGTGGGAAGTGTGTGTGTTGGGGGGAGGGAGGGAGGGTTACACATTGAGATTTAAGATCGATGTCGTTACTAAATCTCAGACTTAAATCTTAATCTCTATATTCGGTTGTTTACAAATATGTTAGGACAAAACTTCTTAATAATCAATATCTAAACATTAGTTAATTTACTGAAAACATACCTAGGGTTGTTTTTTTTTAATACTTTTTACTATATTATTTTATCTCTTTACTAAATAAAAGAACGTTATTACATAAATATTGCAAACAAAAATTTGTGTTTAAATCTAAGTTTATTCAAATATATCTGACCCAATTTCACTCCCCCCCCACCCCCACACCAGCTGTCAACGGCTACTCCTACGGCAACATGCCAACCATCAACACGTGCATCAACGACAACATCATCTGGCACGTCATGTCCCTGGGGTCGTTCCTGGACGTCCACACCCTGGTCTTTGACGGCAACACCTTCAACGAGGAGGGCACCAACCGTGACGCCAGGAGTCTCGTGCCTGGGTCCACGGCTGCTCTGTCTATGACGCCAGATAATGCTGGTATGATGATCAGACTGACTCCTGCTTGATGCTGTAATAGCTGCGTCACGCTTAGAAGTAGATATTGTATTTGGCGGAATAATCTCTTATACTGATAGACTTATTGCGGATATTGGTCATACTTTCTCTTATAATATTCAACTTTCGCATAACAATTTCTGACAGCTGGTAAAGAAACCGGTCTTTATACTTGATGAACAAGCTCATAAATGAGTACTCAGTTCCTACGGTATATTATACTCGCAACACATTGCGCTATACTTGCTTTCATTTTTAGTGTAATGAACGTGTAGTCGATCCTCTAACAATCTTTAAATCAGCATCAAGGTAAGCATACCATACTGAAATGCACTCAGTATATAATCGGGTTCAGTAATCACATATTTCCTCGTAAAAAGTAGAAAATAACAAGGTTTTTTTTTTAAATTTATTTTTTGTTTTTTTTGCGATCCTTAAATCCTCTCATTTTAAAATTCCAAGTGCTAATATCATCAAGGTTAGACAAGGTATTATCTTAAATGTACCAATTTACGTTTGATGTCTAGGAAAATGGATGCTGTACTCTCAATCAACGACCGCCAGAGAAAACGGTATGTTCGCCTTCTACACGGTAACAGACTGCTATGGGAAATCTGGTGACGATGTTGAGATGCATGGGAGGATCAGAGACTACTACATCTCAGCTGAAGAGGTTCTGTGGGATTACGCCCCTTTGACTAGAAGTCCGATAACTGGGGCCAACTTGCTGGATCCCAATGTGTAAGTTATAGAAGTTATTGCCTTTGTCGGTTAGCTGTACACATAAGGGGTATCATTAGGGCTTGGTGTTATTATTATCTTCTTAATTCCTGTGGAATACTGTTCAGAAAAGGGACGCAACTACAAATTTCCATCGTCCCTCTACATGTCCCCCGCCGTGAGCGTAGGGAATGATCTAGAAGGATTTAAGTCCAGCGTTCGATGGAGTAAGTGGTTTTTGCACAAAGAAATAACATTAAAAATAAACACAACTATTTTTAGCAAGCTGGCCATTGTACTCGGGTTATGTGCAATAGTTTGGCGTTAGGATTAAGTTTAGACTGAGATTTAAGATGCAACTTTGGTTAAGGTTACATTTGAGAATGATGGTCTAATGCTAGTTTGAGTGCTAGATTTGGGATAAATTATCTCTTTGTATATACACAACTGTGAAGATGTTTTATGTACATGTTATTTAAAAAGCGTTTGACGAGTGTTTTTTTATTTTAAATACAAACAAATATTTTAATACAAAATACTTTCAGGATATCTTTTGCAATTGTTTCGTTTCAGCGAAGAAAGTATTTTCATCCGACACGACGACATGTATATCGGCCATGTGTACAAGAAAGCGGTGTACAAAGAGTACACAGACGGCACGTACACAAGCGTTAAACCTGGCAATGGTGACCTGCTGGGTCCTGTCATCATGGCGGAGGTTGGTGACGTCGTGAGGGTCACGTTCAGAAACATGGCGACCAGAAGATACTCTATTCACAGTCATGGCGTCCTTACTGAGTGAGTAGAGGGGGGGGGGTAGACATGGCGACCAGAAGATACTCTATTCACAGTCATGGCGTCCAGAAGATACTCTATTCACAGTCATGGCGTCCTTAGTGGGTGAGTAGGGGGGGTAGACATGGCGACCAGAAGATACTCTATTCACAGTCATGGCGTTCTTACTGGGTGAGTAGAGGGGGGGGGTAGACATGGCGACCAGAAGATACTCTATTCACAGTCATGGCGTCCTTAGTGGGTGAGTAGGGGGGGTAGACATGGCGACCAGAAGATACTCTATTCACAGTCATGGCGTCCTTACGGGGTGAGTAGAGTAGAGGGGGGGAGTAAACATGGCGACCAGAAGATACTCTAT